TTAGAGTTTAKARTTATATKTRMYAWAGAATWSWTAWAKWCATAYWTGCSTTAKAGWTWGATAGWTYAKAKATAYATGCCCCATAGWTWRTAGATTATAKTAAATGYYWYATARAATAGWTAGTACATGCCCCAGAGTTTATAGWKTRTTTACCTCAKAGTTTATATTTCACTGTTCTAACTCTATYATAKTTGTTACCTCAGAGTTTAYAYYTCWSTATWCAAACTKSWYTKWTMYAYCTTRATTATTTAGTAAACAATTGTTGAATTTAGTCTTGTCTYTAGTGTTTTATTTTGAGGTATTAAAGTAATTTAGGGCATACCGATGGTCACTGGGAAAATAGCCAGACACATTTAGTTTCTCATTAGATCTTCCTAGTGTGCCATCATACACATCATGCGATGTGCAGGGCTTGACGAATGCAAGACTGGTGTTAAAACTGCTGGAAGAAACAACCTTAGATATGCAGATGATACCACTCTGATGGCTGAAAGCAAGAAGGAACTGAGGGGCCTTCTAATCAAGGTGAAAGAAGAAAGTGCAAAAGCTGGGTTGCAACTAAACATATAAAAAAAAGATTGTGGCAACAAGAATGATTGACAACTGGGAAATAGAGGGAGAAAATGTGGAGGCAGTGACAGACTTTGTATTTCTAGGTGCAAAGATTACTGCAGACACAGACTGCAGCCCGGAAAACAGAAGACATTTACTTCTTGGGAGGAGAGTAATGTCCAATCTCGATAAAATAGTGTAGAGACGAGACATCACACTGGCAATGAAGATCCGAATAGTCAAAGCAATGGTATTCCCCATAGTCACCTACGGATGTGAGAGCTGGACCATAAGGAAGGCTGAGCAAAGGAAGATAGATGCTTTTGAACTGTGGTGCTGGAGGAAAGTTCTGAGAGTGCCTTGGACTGCAAGAAGATCCAACCAGTCCATACTTCAGAAAATAAAACCTGACTGCTCATTGAAGGGAAGGATAGTAGAGGCAAAGATCAAGTACTTTGGCCACATCATGAGGAGACAGTGAAGACCTGTCTGTTCCAGTGTGCCTTTCCAGAATAGGAAACTCCCAGCATCATGTCCCAAACTCACTTTATTAGAGATTTAAGATTGCCTGCACATCGCACCTACCCTAAAATCCTACATTTCACCTGTCATGTCCAGCACTTTTAATTTTATTCATTACATTTGGCCCGGTCCTTAGTTTTAAATGTGTCATGATGTTATTTTTAATGTTTTACTGTTATTGCTTTAATGTTTATTGGTTTGCTTGAGTTTTATTGTTGTATTTTTTATGCTGTTGTTTTATTGAGGGCCTTTGTAAGCCGCACCGAGTCCTTCGGGAGATGTTAGCGGGGTTCAAATAAAGTTAATAATAATAATAATAATAATAATAATAAGTATTGTCGAAGGCTTTCATGGCCGGAATCACTCAGTTCTTGTGGGTTTTTTCGGGCTATATGGCCATATTCTAGAGGCATTTCTCCTGACGTTTCGCCTGCATCTATGGCAAGCATCCTCTGAGGTGAGGTCACCTCTGGAGACCTCACCTCTGAGGATGCTTGCCATAGATGCAGGCGAAACGTCAGGAGAAATGCCTCTAGAACATGGCCATATAGCCCTAAAAAACCCACAAGAACTGAATAATAATAAGTACTTTGACCACATCATGAGAAGACAAGAAAGCTTAGAGAAGACCATGATGCTGGGGAAAATGGAAGGAAAAAGGAAGAGGCCAAGGGTGGATGGATGGCATCCTTGAAGTGACTGGCTTGACCTTGAAGGAGCTGGGGGTGGTGACGGCCGACAGGGAGCTCTGGCGTGGGCTGGTCCATGAGGTCAGGAAGAGATCAGGAAGAGTCGGAAAACGAATGAACGAATGAACAACAAAAGTTCATGTTTGATCAGCCTTTGCCAAAGAAAGAAAATACGCCCACGCCTGCTCAAGGAACACGGCTAGGAAAGCCCTGCTGGAACTCATCCCAGGCGGAAACATGAGAAGGGCAGAAAACGGAGCTGGGCTGGGCCTGAGAGTAAAGTCTGACTCATGAGCATAGACACTCCTGTTGGGCAAGCCCCAGAGTCCAAAGGGGGCCTTTCACTGCGCGCCTGAGTCGGCCAAGCAAAAAAAGCCCTTCCCTTCTCTCTCTCTCTCTCTCTCTCTCTCTCTCTCCCAAGGAAGGCGGGGCAAAGGATCCGGGAAGAGGCCGGCCTGGGCAGGGAGCTAGCTAGTTGCTCGGGCCCTCCAGGGAAGGGAATGGCGACTGCGGAGAAGGTCTTCTCCGGAGGGCAGTGATCAGGAAGGAGGAGGCCATGCGACGCCTCTGCTTGCCGCTGCTGTTCCTCTCCGCCTCCTCCTTCTTCCTCGTATGCAGACCTGTGCCTACCGCTGGAGGTAACTAACTAGTCACTACTTCATCACACTAGAGGGGGGAAAATCCCCTTTGCCTCCTTCAGAAGTCTGGGATTTGTAGTTTAGTGAGGCTGTCAAAGGCTCCTCCTTAAACTACAAACCCCAGAATTCTGCAGGAGGCAGCAAACCGGATTTTAAATGATTTTTTTTCTCTAGTGTGATGAAACCAAATTTAACTCTTTCCTGCGGGGATTGGGGAGAAGGGATTGCCATTCAGGGTGAGCTGCACCAGGCCTGGGCCAACTTGGGCCTTCCCTCCAGGTGTTTTGGACTGCAACTCCCACAATTCCTAACAGCCGGTTGTTAGGAGTTGTGGGAGTTGCAGTCCAAAACACCTGGAGGGAAGGCCCAAGTTGGCCCAGGCCTGTACTGTGCGGTTTGGTAGGGCAGAGAAGGCCAAAGATCTTCCAAAACTACAGCTCCCAGGATTGCAAAGCATTACACCATGTGGAGTCAAGCTGCCTTCCTTCTCCCAATATAGATGCCCCCCAAAGGCCCTGGACAGCAGGGTTCAATTCTTACTCAGCCGTGGAAACTCCCTTGGATGAGTTGTAAGTTTTCAGGGCTGTCTGACCACGTTCCAGAAGCATTCTCTCCTGACGTTACACCTGCATCAATGGCAGGTATCCTCAGAGGTTGTTGTTGCTATTATTATTATTATTATTATTATTATTATTATTATTATTATTCATAGCCGATTTAAGTCTTCTTTATTATGTTTATTAAACATAATAAACATGATGATGCTGATGATACGAGGGTTGAATGCAAAGAAATGCCTCCACCTTCGTAACTCCTCAACAGATGGCAGTACTGGTATGCGGCAGGTACTGGCTTGTTCAGTAGACTCTCCTCTACAGTTCTATTTTGGCAGGAAGCCTTAGCATTGAATGGTTGTGTTGTTAAAGTGCGAAGTATAGAACCCTGCACAGACAGTCGGTCAATGCAACGTGCAGTCATTGAATTCTTGGCAGCAGAAGGTGTCACCCCAAAGGAGATTCATCAGAGAATGCAAGCTGTTTATGGTGATTGCGTTGATGTTGGGCGAGAAAGTTTAAAGATGTTGAGGTGGGAACATCTGACTTGCGTGACAGAGTTGGACGTCCTGTGACAGCAACCACCGAGTTTCACAAGCAAAAGGTTGACAGATTGATTCAGGACAATCGTCTTATTACTCAGAGAGAAATTTCGAACATAATCGGCATTTCACAAGAACGTGTGGGTCACATTATTGTTTTGCTTGGCTATCCGAAGATGTGTGCACGATGGGTTGCGGAAACAGAGTGTCGACTTATTCCGTGACGGCTTCAGAAAACGTGTTCATTGTTGGCAGAAATGTATCCAATTGTCTGGTGATTATGTGGAAAACTGAATAGTGGTAGTTGGAGGATTATTTCTGCGTTTGATTTATTAATATATTCCTATCCAAGTAATGAAGTTGGAGGCATTACTTTTTATTCAACCCTCTTAATAACAGGTTGGTCGTTGTTTTACTTTTAGACTCTCAAAGTGTGACCCACCCAAGTTTACCCAGTGACTTGCCTGAACAGGGACTTGAACCCTGGTCTGGACTGAGTTCTTATTGCTAAGTGTAGTGTAAAATTTTAGCAGGGGAAATTATGTTATAACTCTTGTAATGAGAAGGTGAATCCTGAGGGATGCTTTGGACCACAACAACACAAAGAAAAGGCATATCATCTAGGCATACATTGGAATACAAGTTTACCTGTATCACTAACAGGGTGCTAACCTTGGTCTGACACTCAACACTGTAATAATTTCATTCAACAGTTTCCCTTTTTAGCCTTCCTTTTGTTATTTAAGGACTATAACCTATAAATCCCTTACTGTGTGTCCATGAAGGTTGAAATGTCTTGTAGCTGGAAGTGCTGAATTGAATCAGATTTAATTCCAGTCCATTTGCTAAATATTAACAAGAACAGCAACAACGTTATTTATTATCCACCTCCCCCTATGGCTCAAGACGGAGTGCAACATGGTTAAAATAGTCAAATGCAATACTATTAAAATGCATATACCAAAATACATACAACAAAGAACAACACCAATAAAATGCAGGTTAAAATTTACAGGTCTTCAGTTGTATCTTGAATTCTGACAGTGAATTTTGCTGTTGAATCTCTTCCAGAGGATCATTCCACAATGACAGTGGCTTCATGGCACACTATATTTATTATACAGCTGCCGTGGCGCAATGGGTTAAACCCTTGTGCCAGCTAGACTGCTGACCCGAAAGTTGCTGATTCAAATCCATAAGACAGGGTGAGCTCCCACCTGTCAGCTTTAGCATCCAGGGACATGAGAGAAGCCTCCCATCAGGATGGTAACACATACGGGCATTCCCTAGGCAACGTCTCAGTATTTGCTATAATAATAACAGAAGAGCCGAAGAGCAGGTGTTGTCCGTAGACACCTCCAAAGTCATGTGGCTGGTATGACTGCACACAGTGCCGTTACCTTCCCGCAGGAGCTGTACCTATTGATGTACTCACATTTACATGTTTTCGAACTACCAGGTTGGCAGAAGCTGGGGCTAACAGCAGGAGCTCACCCCACTCTCCAGATTCGAACCACTGACCTTTTGGTCAGCAAGTTCAGCAGCTCAGCTGTTTAACCCACTGCACCACCAGGGGACCATACACACACACACAAGTGTCCTCATTCCTGCACATATAAATTTTAAAAAAGGGATCTTCTCAGAGAGTTTTGAACTCAGGGGAACTGACCTTTTGTAACCAGATTTATTGCTTTTCACACATCAACACTAACTGGTCACTGTAAACACTTGAAATACTTGTACCAAGTTACACTGCCCTTTGAGAATTTAGAACAAGGATCATAATTTGGATTTTTCTCGATCTTATTACATTCTATCCCTCTCTAACAATTGTATGAATATGCTTTAACACCACTTTATCCATGAAACCTTGCATGAAAATAATAACCAGTCTTAATGTTGCCACATTTTTTTGGTGTTAAAGGTGCTCCCGCAAGCCTTCCCTTGATGAACCCTGAGATTGTTTTAATGTATGATTTGAGTTGCTTTGGGCCCCAAAGGAGGAAAAGTGAGATATAAATAAAATAGAATAAAAAGTGCTAGACGTATTGTATCCACACAACCACCAAAGAAAAGCTCACAGCTGCCAATTTTCATTATTCTGCTCTGTTGTGGACTTTGGTGTTATAGATTGAGCATTCCTTATCTGAATTGCTTGGACCAGGAAATGTTTTGGATTTCAGATTTCTTTTTATTTTGGAATACCTGTGTTTGAATTAGGTGCGTAATGAGATATCTTGGGCATAGACAAGTCTATTTGTTGTTGTTTATTCATTCAGTCGCTTCTGACTTTTTGTGACCTCATGGACCAGCCCACGCCACATCTCCCTGTCGGCCGTCACCACCCCCGGCTCCTTCAGAGTCAAGCCAGTCACTTCAAGGATAAAATCCATCCATCTTGCCCTTGGTTGGCCCCTCTTCCTTTTTCCTTCCATTCTCCACAGCATCATTGCCTTCTCTAAGTTTTCCTGTCTTCTCATTACGTGGCCAAAGTACTTCATCTTGGCCTCTACTATCCTTCCCTCCAATGAGCAGTTGGGCTTTATTTCCTGGAGTATGGACTGGTTGGATCTTCTTGCGGTCCGAGGCACGCTCAGAATTTTCCTCCAACACATCTAGCTTCCTTCGCTCAGCCTTCCTTATGGTCCAGCTCTCACATCCGTAAGTTACTATGGGTAATCCCATTGCTTTAACTATGTGGATCTTCATTGCGTGATGTCTCTACTCTTCACTATTTTATTGAGATTGGTCATTGCTCTCCAGCAAAGGATCACCGCCTTGTCGGGCCGCTGGAGCTTGAGCACCTCAATGATGTCATGAGCGAAACCGTGAAGGGACACCCAAGACGGGACGGTTGTGGCAGAGAGGTCAGACCAAGCGTGATCCCTGGGGAAGGCAATGGCAAACCACTCCAGTATCCTTGCCAAGAAAACTAAATGGATCAGTACAACCAGAGATATGTCGGTATGCCATTGGAAGATGGGACTCCCAGGTCGGAAGATGGCCAAAATGCTACTGGGGAGGAGCAGAGGATAAGTTCAACTAGCCCCAGATGACGCAGCTAGCTCAAAGCCGAAAGGAAGGCTAGCGGCCGACGGTACTGGAGGTGAACGACGAATCCGATGCTCTAAAGATCAACACACCATAGGAACCTGGAATGTAAGATCTATGAGCCAGGGCAAATTGGATGTTGTTATTGGCGAGATGTCAAGACTAAAGATAGACATTCTGGGGGTCAGCGAACTGAAGTGGACTGGAATGGGCCACTTCACATCAGGTGACCACCAGATCTACTACTGCGGACAAGAGGAACATCGAAGAAATGGAGTAGCCTTCATAATTAATAAGAAATTCGCTAAAGCGGTGCTTGGATACAACCCAAAAAATGACAGAATGATCTCAATTCGAGTGCAAGGAAAGCCTTTCAACATTACAGTGATCCAAATATACGCCCCAACCACAGCTGCTGAAGAAGCAGAAGTAGATCAGTTCTATGAGGATCTGCAGGACCTACTGGATAATACACCCAAAAGAGACATTATTTTCATTACAGGAGACTGGAATGCCAAGGTGGGAAGTCAAATGACAACTGGGATCACAGGCAAGCATGGTCTGGGAGAACAAAATGAAGCAGGACGCAGGCTGATAGAATTTTGCCAGGAAAACTCGCTGTGTATAACAAACACTCTCTTCCAACAACCTAAAAGACGGCTTTATACATGGACTTCACCAGACGGTCAACACCGAAATCAGATTGACTACATCCTTTGCAGCCAAAGGTGGCGGACATCCATCCAGTCGGTGAAAACAAGACCTGGGGCTGACTGTAGCTCAGATCACGAACTTCTTATTGCCCAATTTAGAATAAAACTAAAGAGATCAGGGAAAATACACAGACCAGTTAGATATGGTCTCACTAACATTCCTAGCGAATATACAGTGGAAGTGAAGAACAGATTTGAAGGACTAGATTTAGTAAACAGAGTCCCAGAAGAACTATGGACAGAAGTCCGCGACATTGTTCAGGAGGCGGCAACAAAGTACATCCCAAAGAAAAAGAAAACCAAGAAGGCAAAATGGTTCTCTGCTGAGACACTGGAAGTAGCCCAAGAAAGGAGGAAAGCAAAAGGAAACAGGATAAGGGGAGATATGCCCAGTTAAATGCGCAATTCCAGAGGTTAGCCAGAAGAGATAAGGAACTATTTTTAAATAAGCAATGCATGGAAGTGGAGGAAGACAACAGAATAGGAAGGACAAGAGACCTCTTCCAGAAAATTAGAAACATTGGAGGTAAATTTCAGGCAAAAATTGGTATGATAAGAAACCAAGATGGCAGGGACCTAACAGAAGCTGAAGAGATCAAGAGAAGGTGGCGAGACTATACAGAAGATCTGTATAGGAAGGATAATAATATTGAGGATAGTTTTGACGGTGTGGTGAATGAATTAGAACCAGACGTCCTGAGGAGTGAGGTTGAATGGGCCTTAAGAAGCATTGCTAACAACAAGGCAGCAGGAGATGACGGGATCCCAGCTGAACTGTTTAAAATCTTAAAAGATGATGCTGTCAAGGTGATGCATGCCATTTGCCAGCAAATATGGAAAACACAAGAATGGCCATCAGACTGGAAAAAATCAACTTATATCCCCATACCAAAAAAGGGAAATGCGAAAGACTGCTCAAACTTCCGTACAGTGGCCCTTATTTCTCATGCCAGTAAGGTAATGCTCAAGATCCTGCAAGGAAGACTCCAGCAATACATGGAGCGAGAGTTGCCAGATGTTCAAGCTGGGTTTACAAAAGGTAGAGGAACGCGAGACCAAATTGCCAATATCCGCTGGATAATGGAGAAAGGCAGGGAGTTTCAGAAAAACATCTACTTCTGCTTCATTGACTATTCTAAAGCCTTTGACTGTGTGGATCATAATAAATTGTGGCAAGTTCTTAGTGGGATGGGCATCCCAAGCCCTCTTGTCTCTCTCCTGAGGAATCTGTACAAGGACCAAGTAGCAACAGTCAGAACTGACCATGGAACAACAGACTGGTTCAAGATTGGGAAAGGCGTACGGCAAGGCTGCATACTCTCACCCAACCTTTTTAACTTGTATGCAGAACACATCATGCGATGTGCGGGGCTTGATGAATGCAAGGCTGGGGTGAAAATTGCTGGCAGAAACATTAACAACCTCAGATATGCAGATGACACCACTCTGATGGCCGAAAGCGAGGAGGAGCTGAGGAGCCTTCTAATCAAGGTGAAAGAAGAAAGCGCAAAAGCCGGGTTGCAGCTAAACATCAAAAAAACCAAGATTATGGCAACAAGAATGATTGACAACTGGAAAATAGAGGGAGAAACCGTGGAGGCCGTGACACACTTTGTATTTCTAAGTGCAAAGATTACTGCAGATGCAGATTGTAGCCAGGAAATCAGAAGACGCTTACTTCTTGGGAGGAGAGCAATGTCCAATCTCGATAAAATAGTGAAGAGTAGAGACATCAGACTGGCAACAAAGATCCGCCTAGTCAAAGCCATGGTATTCCCTATAGTCACCTACGGATGTGAGAGCTGGACCTTAGGGAAGGCTGAGCGAAGGAAGATCGATGCTTTTGAGCTGTGGTGTTGGAGGAAAGTGCTGAGAGTGCCTTGGACTGCGAGAAGATCCAACCAGTCCATCCTCCAGGAAATAAAGCTCGACTGCTCACTGGAGGGAAAGATACTAGAGACAAAGTTGAAGTACTTTGGCCACATCATGAGGAGACAGGAAAGCCTAGAGAAGACAATTATGCTGGGGAAAGTGGAAGGAAAAAGGAAGAGGGGCCGACCAAGGGCAAGATGGATGGATGGTATCCTTGAAGTGACTGGATTGACCTTGAAGGAGCTGGGGGTGGGTACGGCCAACAGGGAGCTCTGGCATGGGCTGGTCCATGAGGTCACGAAGAGTCGGAGACGACTGAACGAATGAACAACAACAACAATTGCTCTCCTCCCAAGAATTAAATGCCTTCTGTTTTCCGGGCTGCAGTCTGTGTCTGCAGTAATCTTTGCACCTAGAAATATAAAGTCTGTCACTGCCTCCACGTTTTCTCCTATACATGGAAATTATTTGTGTTGCTTATGCATAGACATCTACTTACACACAGCCTGGAAATACTTTTCATAATGTTGTACATGAAACGATTGTATGTACTGAACTATCAGAAAACACAGTTGTCTCTATCTCAGCCAGAGCGTGGACTATTTTAGATTTTGGGGAAATTGTTTAACATTTTTTTTACTTCTATGAAGCACATTCTTTCTCTCTTTCTTTTAGAGTCTCCTTTGTTCTTACCTGCACCCCAGAATTTAACAATTGAGTCACGTAATTTTGTGAATGTGTTGAGATGGTCTCCAGTGAAGGGAATCAATAGAACAGTATCCTACCATGTAGAACAGCGTGTGTAAGTAAATAGTTCTTATATACCAAAAGAAGTACTTGCATTCTTTGTTAAACATTCTCATCAAATATGCAACCATGTGAAATTCCATTAATTATCTATTCCTTTGTATTTGCATTACAGAGAGTCAGATAAAGAATGGGAAGAAGTGAAGTGCACAAATATTGCAAAGCCAGAATGTAATTTTGATCATGGCAAGGAGTTTTACCGCAACCTTTTACGTGTTAGAGCTGAACAAGGGGGATTGAAATCTAATTGGAGTAAAGTCGTTCCTTTTAAAGCAAAAAGTAACAGTACGTATCTTTTATTACATTTTTGCCTTACTATTGCTGGGAAAATATGATTTATCTGCAGACGAGAAATGAAATTTAAGTCAGCAGAATTTGCAGTATTGTGAACAGTCTTGCTTTACTGTCAACACTAAAGTATTTCTTATGGCATACACTTTTATTGAAGAGGGTCTGTGTCCTGCTGATGAAATTAATGGCCATTTAAGTATGATAAATGGTTCAGCTTTTGAGATGATAAGATTGTATGTTTGAAGCCATAGACTAGTATAGATGTTACTATGCAGTGAAAGGTATTGGTTTAGATCAGTGTTTCTCAACATGGGGGACGAGACCCCTGGAAGGGGTCACAGGAGGATTTCAGAAGGGTCACCAAAGACCATCAGAAAACACATATTTCTCATGGTCTTCAGAACCCCTTTGGCAGAGAAGGCTGAAGATCTGTTTGCCTGTCCTTCTCTTCCTCCTACCAAAGCCCTCCTCCTGCTGTCTGGATGTAGGTGAACAAACACTGCAAAACTCAAGGTCAAAGCCCATCAAACCCTTCCAGTATTTTCTGCTGATCATGGGAGTTGTGTGTGCCAAGATTGGTTCAATTCCATTGTTGGTGGAATTCAGAATGCTCTTTGGTTGTAGGTGAATCCCAGCAACTATAACTCCCAAATGTCAAGGTCTATTTTCCCCAAACTCTATCAGTGTTCACATTTGGGCATGTTGAGGATTCAGCCAAGTTTGGTCCAGATCCATCATTGTCTGAGTCCACAGTGCTCTCTGGATGTAGGTGAACTACAACTCCAAAACTCAAGGTCAATGCCCACCAAACCCTTCCAGTATTTTCTATTGGTCATGGGAGTCCTGTGTGCCAAGTTTGGTTCAATTCCATCGTTGGTGGAGTTCAGAATGCTCTTTGATTTTAGGTGAACTATAAATCCCAGCAACTACAACTCCCAAATGGCAAAATCAATCCCTCTCCCAACCCCACCAGTATTCAAATTTGGGCATATTGGGTATTTGTGCCAAACTTGGTCCAGTGAATGAAAATGCTTCCTGCATATCAGATATTTTCATTACGATTCATAACAGTAGCAAAATTACAGTTATGAAGTAGAAACAAACATAATTTTATGATTAGAGGTCACCACAACTTGAGGAACTGTATTAAGGGGTCGCAACTTTAGGTTGAGAAACACCTCCCTAGAAGTATGCTGGTATAGTAATGGCATTTCATACATAAGATGCACTGATATTTTTATTCACTGTCAAGGGACCTCTGAGGCCCCTTCCACACAGCTGAATAAAATCCCACATTATCTGCTTTGAACCGGAACATGTGGCAGTGTGGACTCAGATAATCAAAGCTGATATTGTGGGATTTTCTGCCTGGGTTATATGGCTGTGTAGAAGGACCCCCAAGAGCTACGATTGTGAAAGCCCCACTGTGGTTTGGTCTTGTAAACTCAGGGCTGTGGCTTTCCTAATTAAGTCAGCCCATCTCTTAGGTGATCTTCCTTTTTTAATTTCTACCAGCTTCTTTTTTTCTCAGCATTCCCTTGAGTCATGTCTCGCAGTGTGTCCAAAGTTTGAAAACTTCAGTCTAGTTACTTTGTCTCATAGGAAGACTTAATTTGCTCCAGGACTCATTGATTTGTCTCTTTGGTGTTCCATGGGATCTACAGACCTCTCTTCTAGCCCAGATGAGCTTATTTCCATAACTTTCCCGCTTTCACAGTTTTGCATACTGGTATCAGATGACATCACATTGTCATAGGCTTGTGTAGAGGAAATAGCAAAAAAAAAAAAAAACTTCCTCATTTGCTAGCATAAAATACCCCAGTACAGCTTTGGTTATTGAGAAATTTGGAAAATTTCCTATCTTGCAATCAGTGGTTCCCAAACTTTTTTTGACCAGGGATCACTTGACCAGAGACCACTTTGACCAGGGACCATTCTCCAACATTAGTACCAAAAGGGCTACAAATCAGTTGTTGGTCAATTTTAGATTTGGTTTGGTTATTTGAGGTATTGGTTCAGAAAATTGCATTGGATAGACCACACCAGCTCTTGTTTCTGATACAGAACATATGCCATTCAGTAGTCAGCATCTGCTCTCCCACAGAAAACCATATTTAATAATCTAGAGATGATGTGGTAGTAGTAATCTTTCGTGGGTAGTCAGCCTCTCCCCTTCCGACATCTCCGTTGCCTCGGCACTATAAGAGGGTTTCGTGAGACAATTTGCTTTCATTGCCACATAGTTTTGAGGCAATGGTGTAGTAATAGTGAGGCCGCAGATCATATTTCTTTCTTACAGACCACTGGTGGTCCACAGACCACAGGTTGGGAACCACTGATCTAAATCCTACTTTGTGGTGACCAGCTGTAGAGAGCATAGGCAGCACGGTCCCATTTTGACTTCTTTGGTAGGAGAAAATCATTTGACTGATTTTTAGGTGAAAAGTCACCTATTTAAAAAATAAAAGTCCAGGGAATCTGATGGTGAAAGCTTCAGGGGCCACATTTTGAGTTCTGAAGAGCCACATGCGACCCATGGATGAACTTCACCCATCCCTTATCTACCTAAAAGATAATATGTGTTTATGTGGATGATGATTTGTTTTCTAGTCTGCTTTGCCAATGTTTATGAACATCCCCTTCTTTTGTAGATAAACTTCCTTCCTTAGTTTGCTTGCAAGTTTTCATCCCTGTGTGAAGAATGCAAATCTGCTGCTTCCATCAAATGAACCAATGTAGCCTGGAGTGGATAGGAAGCCTTTGGGTGTTTGCATTTGATTAAAACTAACAGTAAATTGCATTTTATCATTTTTTGCCTTTATCGTCATTTGTTTCAGCCATTTTGGGACCTCCACAAGAAATAAATGTGACCTCAGAGGCAAACACACTTACTCTAAGCTTTCGGTCTCCTCTTGAGCATACAAGATATGACTCGAAATTGCAATACAAAATATACTACTGGGACGAGCCATTGAGCCAAAATGTAAGTACTCACCATTGCTGGACAAGCTGGTTATTAAATATTTTTATTCATGATATAGACATACAGGAATACTTTAAAACAGGTGGGAAAGTGTATTGGCTTATTTTCACTTCTGCACTCTCCCCACATCCTGAAGGTCAAACCAACTAACTTTCAGAAAAATACAAGTGACTGGAATTCACTTCTGGGTTTCATTTTACCTTGTTTTGAGGGTTTTTTTTTCCAACTTGAAGAGGTGTTTAATAGGTAGAAAAATTAGACTCGCTTGGACAGTAACAGAAAGAATTTCTAAAATAGTAGTAGTAATTGTAATAACAATAAACTTTATTTGTATCCCGCCACCATCTCCCCAAAGGGATTCAGGGCAACTTACAAAGGCACTCCAAGGGGCAGCATATAACATAAAACGGTATATAAGTCTAAAATAATAAGACATAAAATTATAACAACACTTACTTACTTACTTACTTACGCGATCTTTCGTTGGCCGAGTAGGATAGTCTTCCAGGGGCAGTATTCTTGTGGGTCCGTAGGTGGCTGTGGAGCCCCCTATTCTTGATCTGCATCTTCTTCCGCAGTGAGGGCATTGGTTTCCAGGTGGAAGGTGGAGTTGGCTTGATGCGCCTTCCTCTTGGCACGTTTCTCAATTTCACCGTCCATTCGGGCCTCTTCAAATTCTGCAGCACTGCTGGTCACAGCTGACCTCCAGCTGGAGCGCTCAAGGGCCAGGGCTTCCCAGTTCTCAACAACCACTACCAACACACATAACGTAAAATAAAATTCTCAATTTTAAAATACATAACACCTGTAGATAAAACTAGCTGCCAGTAATCCACAACTAAAGTGCCAGAGTGTATATAGGCCCATTACAGCCTACTCAAGGACAAAGGCCTGTTTAAACATCAATGTTTTTAGGCTGGATCGGAAGGGTTGAAGGGTGGGGGCTAACGTACAGTGTTCCCTCACTTATTGCGGGGGTTCTGTTGCAGGAACCCCCGCGATAAGTGAAAAATCATGATGTAGGGAAGAGGAGGAGGAAGAGGAGGAGGAGGAGGGGAGAGGGAGCCAGTTGCTGGGCCTTACCCTGGGCCTTACTCCGGGCTGGGGTAAGGCCCAGTGCCTGGCTCCCCTCCTCCTCCTCTTCCTCAGATGCCAGAGGCTTGTCTCCGGGAGGCCTCTGCTGAAGAGGGAGGGGTGGCGTCGTCGTCCTTCGCCCCAACCATGTCCGGCTGCGGCACTCACCAAGGAGGAGGAGGAGGGCGGTGCCGAGCACCTCAGCCAGACATGGCCAGGAAGAAGGACGCCAGTCCTCCCTCTTCAGCAGAGGCCTTCCACAGCCCTTTTGAAGGCTGCCCGGAGTTCCCGAGGATGGCCAGCCCAGCCAATCAAGGCAGAGCAGGGCCCGCCTCCCATTGGCTGGCCACCCCACTGGAACTTCTCCCACTGGGAAGAAGAAGCCCCCTCTGGAACCATGGTGGCGGAAGAAAGGCAAGGAGGGAGGGAGGGAAGCTGAGGAGGAGTAGAAGGATGGATGTGGGGGTGCAGGGCTTGCCTTGTGGGCCATTCATGAAAAACCTCGGGGGCCGCTCAGAGAAAACCGTGAAACAGCGAGTCCGTGGTAAGCGAACCGCAAAGCGGTGAGGGAACACTGTAATCTCTTTTGGGATGATATTGCAGATCCGGGGAGCCGCCACAGAGATGGCCCTCTCTCTCGTCCTGGGGGCCTCTCCTGCAGATCTCAAAGCCCACACCAGTTCATAGAAAGAGATTCGGCCTCGAAGTAGGCTGGCATCTTACTTGTAACTTTGTATTTAAAAACCCAGTCAATCCACTTTTTTCGTAATGTCCATCTCAACACAACCATATAATGATCGGTGGAGAGCAGTGGACATCTGAGCAGCATGACGTTCTGGCAAACAAACTAGTCAAATGTGGGCTTGGCAAAACTATGGTTAAGGACAGGGGGTGTTGCTGCTTGTTTAAAATATGAAATATCCCTCCTGGAAGCTTCTGGGATAGGCATCTTCTTTGGAATTGTTATGGACAGAAAAAGGCATTATTGCAGTTGGGGCTGCCGAAATAGCTGTGGACACTGCAGTTTGCTGAGAGCCAGAATGAGGCAATGGCGATATGCTCTGAACAAATCTTTCCAAGAAAACCCTATGAGTAGTTCATCTTGGAGTCAACCTAAGTTGGAAATGAACTGAAGGCACATAACATTTTATATATTAATCGCAGTCTCAGCTTTCCAAGTGTATGCATAAGAAATCCCATGGACAGGCCTACTACATTCTGTGGGATTAGAGCAAAAATATTCTGGATGACCAGAAGAAAAGAACTGCAGCATAACTTCTTGGTGCAATTAGAACTATCATATTTGTATGAAATATATGTTAAGTCCATTCTGGCTAAAGCTATTGTCATATAAGTGTGCTTGAATTTTCCTTTCTTCTGCTTACACAGACATCAATATGGACCAAAAATAGAGCCACGAAATTCAAGGATCTAAAAGAAGTGACACAATATTGCTTTCAAGTACAAGCAGTGTTTATAAACAATACAGGAGAAATAAGTGGCCCTCACTGCAACAAAACACTTGTCACTGGTATGTATTTTCTTCATTAAATAATGATATTGTAATGTCTATGTCATGAAGGATGCACACTTAAGGAAGCATTTACCCTGATGTGATTTCTCATGTTATAGTGATACCTCTTAATTACCCAGAAATGGTGTTAAGGAAAAGTTTTCAATCACTAAGTAGCTGTACTGAGCTTGTTCGGTTTGTATTAAAAAGAAAATAGTAACTAGTAGCTATTAGGCCTGGGTAACAACGGAAAAATTTGGTTCTAAAATCGATTCGTTTTTGGGGATTTTTGCGTTTTGTTATTTAAAATAATTACAAAATTTTCCTTTTAAAAAGTTCGATATTTACGAAATTTCGTAAATGTTAAAAAAATTACAAAACAATAACGAATCGATTTCCGAAACAATAACGAATCGATTCGTTAATGGCGGACGCGACCGCGCAATACGCTAAAAAACCTCCAAATGGGACAGGGGGAACTTCTGAAGCTTAATTAAACCAAAAACAACTATAAAAACCCTTAGAAAACCAAAAACAACTATAAAACTTGCCCCAGACATGCGGAAATAATAGCGAAACGACCTCAAAACGATAACGAAATGAATACAATAACGAAATACAAAACATTTACGAAACGATTTAAAAATTCGTTTTTTTTAAAATTGCTCCAGACTGGTTCGTTATTGTTTTGTAATTGAAAAATTAACGAATTTTTTAACGAATTACGAATTAACGAAACGAAACCGCCCAGCCCTAGTAGCTATAGATATATTACATTCTCTGTTTTCCAAATGGGACCCTATTTTGGCAATAAAACATTGAGTAGGTTTTCATTGGCTTTTGCAGAATTCGTTTAGTTGCGAATCGGTGTAAAACACATAGACAGTGGCAAGAGGTAGAATAGGATTGGAAAAGAGATGAAAAAAATATGCTCAAAGAAAATGTCTTGTATTAAAGCTAGCAAAAGTTGAAATAGTTAAACTTTTAGTGGCCACAAATCCTTTTAAACTACAGGTATGAAGCCGCGAGACCCACATGTCACTATGTAAATAAGTTACTATAAGTTAAGTTACTATATCAATAAGTTACTATAAGTTAAGTTACTACATAAATAAAATGATAGCAGTAATTAACAAAATGTTGATACCCTTTCACTGTAATATATAGTTTTTTTGTTTCAGATAGCTTCTACTTATACCCTTTTCCTTGGCTTCTGAGGTTCCATCTACACTGACCATTTAATGCAATTCAAAGCTAGTTTCAAGCAGCAATAGCCAGACAACAAACTCCCACAAAGGCTAGTAAAATGAAGCCCTTAATGTCCATCAGTGCACTATAGTTTGTATAACTACCATCCAGACCTCAAACTGGTTCCAGGATTCCCTATGCACTCAACTGCATAGTGAAACAATTTTCTACAATACTACTTTGAAATTGCATTAAATGGTCAGTGTAGAAGGGGGCTGAGTGTCTGGATTTTGGATTATTAATCCTGAATGTCATAGTCCTGAAAGATTGTATGAATGGGTTGCTGTGAGTTTTCTGGACTGCATGATCATATTCCAGAAGCATTCTCTCCTGTCGTTTCACCCAGATCTATGGCAGGCATCCTCAGAGATTGTGAGGTCTGTTGGAAACTAGGCAAGTGAGGTCTATATATCTGTGGAATGCCCAGGGTGGGAGAAAAAACTCTTGTCTGTTTGAGGCAAGTGTGAACATCAGGAGAGAATACTTCTGGAACATGGCCATATAGCAACCCAGTGATTACAGCCATGAAAGCCTTCTACAACAGATTGTATGAATGTAGTTTCTGATTATTTGTGTAAGAACCAGAGGTTACTTGGATACAAGTGGTCAGCGAGAGTCTTCTGTATTCCATGGTGTATTATTTATTCTTTACCCTAACATAGAGGTAGGCAGAGTGTGGCCTTCTGTATAATGTAAATAAATACATGTATAAATATGTGAGGGGAAGACATAGGGAGGAGGGAGCAAGCTTGTTTGCAGCTGCCCTGGAGACTAGGATGCAGAACAATGGCTGCAAATTACAGGAAAGGAGATTCCATCTGAACATTAGGAAGAACTCCCTAACTGTGAGAGCTGTTCAACAGTGGAACTCTCTGCCCCGGACTGTGGTGGAGTCTCCTTCTTTGGAGGCTTTTAAACAGAAACTGGATGGCCATCTGTTGGGGATGCTTTGAATGCGATTTTCCTGCTTCTTGGCAGGGGGTTGAATGGCCCACAGGGTCTCTTCCAACTCTGTGATTCTGAATGTTGTTGGAATGCCTCTTCTATGAGCACAATTCAAAGTGCTGAGTATGATCTTTAAAGCTCTACACGATTCAGGTCCAGACTAGTTGGTTGATCATATCCCCTTGTACGAACCTGCCAGGGTCCTGAGATCTTCTTGAGAGGTCCTTCTCTTGGTCTCACTTTCATTGCAAGCTCAATGATGGGAATGAGAGAGCAGGCTTTCCTTCTCAGTAGTTGTCCCTCGACCCTGGAACTCCCTTCCCAGGGAATGGCTCCCCCTCTGCTGTCCTTCCAGCAGCAGACTATACCCTTCTTATTGAGACAGGCTTTTAAAGAAGGTTTTAAGATCTAGTCAGGGTGCTGCGATTTTTATCTTTGAATATGTTTTAATGGATTTTAACTGTGAATTTGTAATACTGTTATGTTTAATTCTGTTTTAATGTTTGCATATTTGTATATTTTTAAATTGTGTGGTCATACTTTTCATTGTAAGTTGCTTTGAGTCTCCTTCAGGAGAGATAAAGTGGGGTGGTAATAATAATAATAATAATAAGGCAAAAGAAGGCTCTCCATAGACAGTTCCTGGGAAAAATTGAGAGCAAAATTGACAAAGACAAAACATGGCTGTGGCTCACAAATGGAACTTTGAAAAAGGAGACTGAGGGCCTGATTCTTGCAGCCGATGAACAAGCAATTAGAACCAATGCCATCAAAGCCAGAACTGAAAAGTCGATGACAGATTCCAAGTGTCGACTCTTCAGGGAAGCAGACAAACAATGGATCACATACTCAGTTGCTGCAAGAAGATCATACAGATGGACTATAAGCAAAGGCATAAAACTGTTGCTCAGATGATCCACTGGAACTTGTGCCACAAATACCATACAAAAAACTAGTGGGATCACAAGCCTGAAAAGGTTACACAAGATGAACATGTAAACTACTCTGGAATTTCTAAATTCAGACTGACAGAATTTTGGGGCACAATACTCCTGATCTCACAATTGTGGCAAAAAAGGTATAATAGTCAATGTTGCAATCACAGGTTACAGCATAATTGACAAGAAGCAACTGGAAAAGGTTACACAATATGGGAATTTAAGGATAGAATTATAAAGCCCCTGTGATAATTTCAGGTTAATGTATACCATAGAACTGCAGTAAAGACCTAACAATTCAACACACACACACACCATGAAGGCCAGTGAAATCTCGTATATGGCTTCCACTGTTATGAGGCTCTCGCTGTATTTTAGTAAATTTCAACTAATTGTGTTAATAATATCAGATTCCTAACAGTTGGCAACATCTTTTTTTTTCAGAAAGAACAAGAAACATTTATATTGCCGTGATATTTGGAGTTCTAGCGTCTACCATTTTGGCAACATTTTGGTTTGTGCATGTTATTCGAAAATATAAAAGCACAATTAAATATTTTTGGCAACCTCATCTAAAAATACCCTCCCACTATGAAGAGGTATGTATAGAGATCATTTATGAGTATTTTAAATAAGTGCAATTAGATAATACTTAGTACTGTACAGATTAGTGATTCCCAACCTTTGGGCCTCCAGGTGTTTCGGACTTCAGCTCACACAGTTCCTGAAAGCTAGTAAACTGGCTGTGATTTCTGGTATAGACTAAGGATTTGAACTAAGGCTTGGATTGATAGAGCTGTTATGTAGCGTGGTACTACATTTCTTCCTCTAAAGATTCCAGGCACAGCTGGGGTTGGAAGGCCATGTGTTTTGCCTGCATTGGGACACTTTTTCCATTTCACTTTAAGATCATTGCATGTTCTATCTGGACGAAGCAGACTCCTATTACTTCCCTATCTGACTCCCATACAGCTTTTGTTCTTGCTGCAATCTCCATAGACAGGAAAAAATGACTAGTTAGAAGCACATACATTGGACCAAGGCTCCAGTTCTTGGTTTAAGAAAAAATCCCAGCTTTCACTGTAGTCTGTATCTGTGATGATATAGCTGCTCTCAGCACTCAGATCCTATTAGGGAACCTGCACTCCAGAAGGGAGGGGATGGGCATGTAATCTCTATTTACTTTATTCTGTCAGCTCAGGAATGCTGTTTCACATAAGCCTATATTTGAGAGCAAACTCTGACACCTATTGTTTTTCTTTATAATTCAGATCATTTCCTGATACTTAAAATAAGAATATTGAAAGAACTCAGAGGGAAGGGTGCTTCCTCACTCCCCTTTTATTATGTGGCCAACATTCCCTCCCTCTTTCTCTCCTTTCTTTCTCTCCTTCCTTCCCTCCCTCCCTCTTTCCTTCGTTTCCTCTTTTTCTTTCCCTCCTTCTTTCTTCCTTTTCTGTTTCTTTTCTCGCTTCCTTTGCTCTTTGTTCCATCCTTCCTTGTCTCCTTCCTTCCTTCCCTCTCTCTTTCGTTTCTTCTCTTCTTCCTTCCCTCTTTCACTTTTTTATTTCCTTCTTCCTTCCTTCTCTTTCTTTCTTTCCTTCTGTCCTTCCCTCTTTCTCTCCCTCCTTCTCTTCCTTCCTTCCTTTCCCCTTTCTGTGTATGTGTTTTGTGTGTGCATATATGTGTGTATATATTTCTGTATAATTTCTGTATATCTGTATATATGTGGTTTTGCACATGAGTTATTACATTTTTATTTATATAGATCATCATTACACATTTGTGTATTTGTTCTGTGCCACTTTGTGAATATGTGTGTACTCATAGTCTGGTTTGATTGCATTCTATTTCCAGCTCAACTTGAACTCATATAAAAAGTAATTGCTATTCAGTCATTCTGTTAATCAGTTGATTTCTTTCAGCTAGAACAAAATTAATTTTGTTTCCCTCACATACAAGGTAAACTGAGAAAGCAGGCAGAATACATGGAAATCACAAATGCATTTCTAGAGATTGATACAGGACATTGGCTGGATTCCTGTCATGAATTTACAAGTGCATAAACACTAGTCACAATCCAATCACAGTCCCCACTTACTGAGAAGCAGCCACTGCAATTGATGGGAAGCTGTTCTGTAAATCAGGAAGCAGGTCCTCATGACCTCATTCTATCCTGTACTCATATAGATTACCTTTAGTGTGACAGGCAGATGCAGGACCCCTGGCACAATCCCCTTCATGCTAGAGAGCTCTGATATGAGGGGTAGGTAGGACCAGCAGCTTTCTGGTGAATAGGGAAAGTCTCCCCTTAACTGCAGTGGCTGCTTCTTGCTAAATGGAGTTTAGGAGATTTTCATGATCCTTCAACAGAGACTATGAATGCATAACTCAAAGTTACACATTTGTAACTGTCCAGCAGGATTCCAATCAATATTTCTAGCATCCTTGCTTTTCAGCAAGACCTTTCTGACAAAAGCATAGTGCTTCCCTGACAAATTATAGTAAAGATTACTTTAGGTGAAGTCAAACAAGCAGAGAACAATGATAAAAGCAGATCTGTTCTGCCTCTGTGTTTGCTAAAGATGAGTTGGAAGGAGATGTGACACAAAGGACAGATCGGAGGCTGTATTTGAATTAAAAACAATGTTTTATTGATAAACAAACTGAATTTCCTTTCCCTTGGTTGCCACTGTAAAGTCTCTATGGGAAAAGGAAACCCTATTCTTAATCTTCTTTAAAGTCCAAATTTGACTGCTGTCATTTTACTATGCTGTATATGACTTTGACATAACTTGTAACTTGTTTACTTTGTTCTCTACAACTCTGGCGTGACTTTGACTTAATACAGTCCCTATGCACCTTCTACCTCTCTCTGCTTCCTTCCAATACTAGATTCCATCTGACAATCCCTGACAATAATAACTGCCATTCCAAGGCAAGAAGGAGCTGAGACTGAGTTCCTCCCTGCTTCCAGATCCTTAAAGGCACAGGCAGTAAATTATAGCTTCTGGAGGCAGGACAAGACCAGTATACTTAATTGCCCTATATAATAACACAATCTGGCATATCTGAGAAACAGAACCCAAACTGTTAGCTTATTAGATTACTAGAAGTGTAGTTTTATCTATACCCAAGCGAGTGGCCTTTCCTTCCCCTTCTGTTGCAAACAGTTGCCCTTCTTATCACTGTGGGAAGAAAAAGGTCAAGTGATGCACTTGATCATGGTTATAGTGAATTGTAGTTTAGGATTTGGTCTTCATATTTCATTTAATTGACAATTAAATGCTTCTTTTTCAGGACTTACAAAATGCTCAAGTGGCTACAGAGTACACATTTCAGAACTGTGCAGGAGAAGAACATTGGGACACTGTATCGGTTATCTCTAATACAAGTCAAAATCAAACTTCGAGAGACAGCTTTCCTAGTGGAACTCAAGTAGATGTGTCAAATTTGGATGAACATAGATAGCAGTATGCAAAGCATCTTCATCTCACAGTGGTCGTTGACTCTTAATGTCTATTTGTGAAAATTCACTACAGCCTCAAAGAACAGACATCCTCCATGTGTTGGAATTGTGAAATGGAAAGCAACACTAAATTGTTGAGAGGATACACATGCTGTGAATCAAGAGAGATCACTTCAAGCACTTCTCAAATGATTCGAGATGGATTTTCTCCTGGAGTCTTTCATAACCTGATGTTTAATCATAAAACATGATACTTTCTATCAGGAATATGGTTTCATGGGCCACTGGAGTAGATTGAAACCAAAAGACAGTTTTGGCACAGAGTTCAGTTAAGTATAACAAGGAAGGTACAAGGAAAATATGCACCAGTGATCTCATGTATTTATAGATAAGGCTGGGTGTTTTTATACAGCACAAGGACAATTGTTACTCTGCTTTTTATACAATGGCACTGCCAGTTCATTTCCAGGCTCATTTTTCCTTCTGAAACACTTGAGTCTTTCTGTCCTTCAGATATCCATTGTCAGTGTCTTCCCAACAGTTTTGGCCTCCCTCTTGAATTTGGTGCCCTCGCTTTCCAGTTTGAGAATATAACTTATTTCTACCAAATACATCACTAGCCTATTTTGGCCTATCTGGGAGAAAAGAAGAGAGAGCACTGACATTAGACATTACAAAAAACAACCCACGGCCTGGATTCAGACAGTATAGTAAACCAATTGCAGGAGGAGAGATTGGGCAGCATAATCCAGCACAAATGATTCTTGATAACCCAGGATTCCGATTTATCATGATCTGATACTTTGATCATGATACTTTCTGGTGGGAAAATTTAAAATGTTTCTTTTGTTCTTTTTGAGAAAACAGCTGTCATATTCTTGAAATAAATTATTTTCTATTTCAAGTAGTGTGATAAGTTACTGTGTCATCAAATTACATAGATGTTTAGAAGGCACTATCAATAGCATTTACATAACCATTTTACTGTTTTCTTCAACTTAATGGGCTTCTTCTAGTTGGGAGTTGCAAGTGGGTTTACAAACAGCTCCTTTGATAGATTGGAAAGTTATTGATGTAAATGAGGGTATGCTTTGAAATTAAGTGTGGTGTCAGCCATATTTGGCTCTTGCAGCCCCTTCCAGATCTAATTATTTTCTCCCAGGGCTGCTCTAGTCATCTACCACTGCATGGAAAATCTGTGAAGTTCCCTTAATGGAGCCACCTCTCCTGATGTAGGACATCTGCAAATATCATGAACAGTCTGGAGTTCGTTATTTGCTATTATTGTTGGATCATTCTTAAGACCCTTTTCAGGTGTGGTCAGATTACTCCCTAACTTCTTTGTCTGATGCATCAAGAGGATTAGTCATTGATCATGAAAAGTGAACCCTCTTGGTGGTGGCATAGGAATCTGGGAGTGGTTCGTCTTGTCTGTCTTGAATAAGCTGATTCTTTTAAATAACCTCCTTAGAGGAAGTTTGCCCTACAGTACTAATTGTTTCAAACATATGGTGGAATTGTAGTGGCAGCATCACGTCAGAACGCTAATCCACTAGTAGAATTTAGAAGTTAGACGAACCTATCGTTATTCTTGCCATGCTATTTCTGCCTTTGGTACCAAACTTTCTGCTGAGGAACGCCTCTACTTTTTAATCTGAGCTATACCTGTACCTGACAGTCTTTTGTTCCTGCAGCATTGTAGTTCCAATATGTTTCAGCAAATCTTTATTCAAAATTAGTTGTAGGCATAGCGACATGGGATAAGTAGGCCAAACAAGATTTGCATAAAGAAAAAGAAAACATCTTGAACCCCTAGGAACTATTTGGAGCTGCTTCTGAAGTGCATAGAGGAATAACTTTTTTTCACCTCCATTTTTAATGGTTTCCATTTTGGTGGTTTAGATGTATGCTTTTTTCTTTTTAAACAAATTGGACAAGAGTGGTGAGGCAGGCTTATCTTTCCCCTTTTTTTGTTTTGTTTTGCTATTCAAAGAGTTTTAGTAGGAATTCAAGGCAGCTACTCATATTTTACCGATCGTGGTACATGGTACAGTACAATCCCGATTTTTCCACTTCAAGCATTGTTAACTGGAGACACACAGTTGCATTCGGACATAAAAAATGTTTCTCTAGCCCTGGTAGTGCAGTGGGTTAAATAGCTGAGCTGCTGAACTTGCTGATCAAAAGGCTGGTTGTTCGAATCTGGAGAGCATGGTGAGCTCCCACTGTTAGGCCCAGCTTCTCCCAACCTAGCAGTTTGATAACCTGCAAATGTGAGTAGATCAATAGGTGCCACTTCTGTGGGAAGGTAACGGCACTCCACACAATCATGGTGCCCACATGACCTTAGAGGTGTCTACAGACAATGCCGGCTCTTCAGCTTAGAAATGGAGATGAGCACTACCCCCGAGAGTTGGACATGACTAGACTTAATGTCAGAGGAAACTTTTACCTTTATGTTAGTCCTTCATTATCTTCCCTATGCTGATGCTTTAAAAAACTCTCCAGCTAAGGCAAAGAAGAAAAGGGGGCTGAGTAAGCATGTAAAGTTTGTAAAAAAGAACTTCTTTATCAAAGGTTTTATTAACTGAAGTATGCCTAACTATTTGAAAAAAATATCTTTCTTCTTTGGCTAAGCAAAGCCACCTGGTGGTCAAAGTAATAATCCTCATTCCAATATGACTTGTTTTTCTCAAGTCTAGGGAAGTACACCAGACTATACCCTTCAGTTGATTTATTTCTGTGGATGAAGGTTGCTTGCTTACTTACTCTGCTGAGGTTTCCAATGGGAGAAAACCATTACAGAACCATGATAGGCACATACATAATCTGGCAGGATTTCCGCTCTGCTCTATTCACATTAGTAATGCACAAATGGCAGCCTACATACATATTTCTGTTTCCACCAGGCTTTTAAGGAAAGTAAAACCTAGTATTTTGGGGAAATGGAGCTCACCACGAAGGTGCAGAAATGTTTCCTCAACCCTCAAATTGCTACCTGTCCCTGCTCTAGAAGAAACATACATCTGAAGTGGCACATTCTGACTTATCCTTCTTGTTTCGAAATTTTACTGGCAGCTAGGACTTGCATATATAAAAGAGAACTTGGACATAATACTTCTGAATTACTCTTCCAAGTAATGTTTTCATGCTATGGGACACCACCCATAAGATCTCTTAAGTTCAATAAATCCCACACAGTAGCTAAAACTTCTCATTAGAGGGCCCAGAATAACCAAGCTATTGATTTGACCTCAACGGCCTAAAGAAACTCAACAGGAATCCCTGGGTAAGGGCCAGGCTGCTTTGTTTCTTGAACTTCTTTATCCATTTCTTTTACTTGCAGTTTTAGAAATATGTTCATGTTCTCACCCAATCATTTGTAGAAGAAAAGCAACAAAGACATGGCAGAATTTTTTTAAAAGCACACAAACATTTAAACATTTTGAGAGAGAACATGAATGTAGTAAAAAAAATGGGAAAGAAGGGGAGCATATTTGGTGGTGTACACTTCTACAGTTTATGGTCTTGCATTTTTGGCTACAAATATGCAAAACAGTGCAACAAACGGATACCAGGCTTAACTAATATTGTAATTTATAGAAGCTGTATAAACATCCAGGAAAGTGACAGCTGGTCCTCCTTGGCATACTACCATTTTCAATTTCCCCCCTCCTTTTGGCAGAGCTACCATGGACACTATCTATCTGATGTACACACTCAGAAAAATAAAACTCTTTTGCCTTCATGGACTGACAGCAAAAGCTGCTTTCGCCCAGCTGCAGCACCCACAAACTTCCACTGTCCTGTCCTTTGAATTGCCACATAAGTGGACCCAGGTACCATCTAGCTGTCATTGTGCAATCAAGGAAAACGCAACATAGCAGGTGGTATTTGATACCTCATTGCATGCCACCCATAAAAGTACTTATGCTTGTGAAATTAGTTATGCCACTTTAAATCACCAATAGGGCACTATCTTATATTTAAAGAGCCTTCAAATCTCTCTACAAACCCTTATTTTATTATATGTAAAAACACCATGAAATTAAAAAGCTAATGCTGGAAAACAATCACATTTGATTATTCAATTAAAGCTGCTTCTTGAGAAGTGAAGAAATTACCACATAGCAGTCCTGCAAAGTGGGTCAAGATCACTAGATTCAAAGTTTTCATGCACTTGGGCATATTAAGTAAGCCAGTGAGCAGAGATTTTAACCATGGTTCTTTCCATCATCTTCAGCATGCGAATCAAACAACAGTACAACTTTTTCAAAAGGTCAACACCACAGGCAAAATGTATAGTTACATAGGCGATCACTCATTGTCTGAGTATGATGGCCTTTCAAGTATAGTGCCTTGGTGATGGATATGTAGATGACTGTAGAACCCTATTCTTGACCCGCATGTACTTCCACAGTGAAGGCATCAGTTTCCAAGTGGAGGGTGGTCCCAGTCAGGGTTGGCTTGACGCATCTTTCTCTTGGAACGTTTCTCCCTATCCTCCATTCGTGCCTCTTGAAATTCCACAGCACTGCTGGTCACACCTGACCTCCAGTTAGAGTGCTCAAGGACCAGAGCTTCCAAGTTCTCGGTGTCTATGCCACAGTTTTTAAGGTTAGCTTTAAGCCCATCTCTAAATCTCTTTTTCTGTCCACCAACATTCCGTTTTCCATTCTTGAGTTGGGAGTATAGTAACTGCTTTGGGAGACAGTGATCAGGCATTCAGAACATCATATAGTAGTGATTGGTTTAAACTTTATAAAACATAGTATTTTGCTGACCTTTATTGGATGTTAATGTAATTACACTGAACAGTCAAAATTGTATAATGTTTTATAACAGATCAAAGTGACAGTTTGATGGAGTCTGATCTACAAAGTACAAATTAAGTCTGACATAATAGGACAATTCTCAGCTTAAGGATCTGCTTCATAGACTGTCCCCTAAAGTCTCTAAAAATGTTTCCAGACAATGAACACTACGCAGGCCTACCTACTTTTTAGATGTGGGATAAAGATTTTTCCCCCAAAAAAGCCAAGGTGGAGAGCATGAAACAAACTCTTGGCCAGAACCTCTAACAGCCAGAATGCAGGGCACCCCTAGTTTGTCCAATTGTTCATCATTCCCCTGCACATTTTTCTTGCAAGTGTACTTAATACAAAAAATATAAATAAATAAAATATACATCTGATACAGCTTGACATACCGTAAGTAACAATAAGCAATTTGGATTTGGGGGCATAAAATACAACCAGTCCTGGTTAATGCAAACTGTACGAACATACAAACTTTATCATTTGTATGACTAAAATATATAACTCTTTGAAAATATGGCAGTCTTGCTACAAGTTGATCACTTAAAAATATCTTCCATGTTTTCCATTTTTGGAATCTAGTAAATCACATTTAAAGACAAATCTTTTCCTGAAAACTTACAGAAAGAAACAGAGCAAGGGTTTTGGAGAAAGTGGAACACGGGATCTCCCTTGCCCTAAATATTGCATAAGCATGTGAATATCCAGGGTAAAAGCAATTTTACCTAGAAATACTCACAGCCTGAATGCATATATAATGCCTAAAAAGGACCATACGTTATTAGACATTTAGAAGATGGATTTTTAAAATAATAAAACCTCTCAGATTTAACACTATTCTACTATACCTTGCAAAACACACTAGTACTCCAGGCTTAAATGATTTTGGGCCATCCCATTTTCTGACATGCTGTACTAACGAAGTATTTGAGACTTAGTGCATTTCAGAATTTCATTTCTCTATCATGCCTCTGTTTAGTACAGATTTTGCAATAGTACAGAACATTTCTAGTATCCAGGAAATCCGTGCTAAGCAAAGTTTTACAATATGATGCCAGCATATATTAGCTTTTAAGAATGCTGAAAAATTATTTTCCCCTGTCATGCATTACAAATTAGCTATTTTGAAGAACCTCGCAAATGCTATTCTAGATAAGATTCTGAAGCCTCACTTTCTGATCATTTAATCCAGTGGTGTCAAGCTTTGGGCTTCAGCTCCCAGAATTTCTGGCCATTGGGCAAGCTGACTAGGGTTTCTGAGAGTGGGAGGCTCAAGCATCTGAAGGACCACAAGTTTGATACCTCTGATCAATTTCCATTCCTCAGTAAATGTAGGGTAAGAAGCTATTCAACTGTTTTGCACTTAAAAGCAACATGTGACCCTGACAAAGCTTTGAGCCTCTTAAAATACCCTCCATCTTATACATCAGAAAAATCTGCCAACTGCATGATAATTTTAACATTCATTGTTACTGATGTTGAGAAAAATGAGGCAATTAGAACACAATATTTTCCCGATTGTCATTTGACATACAGATTCACAGAGCAATAATATGTACATATACACAAATCTGTTGTATTAAAAAGGTAGCTAAATATAACTTGGAATATTTAATAACAGAATATTTAAAACAGTTAACTTTCCATAAAAAGAAAATAAAACATCAAAAATGTGTAATGCGGTAAGCCTGGCAAAATAGAAATCAGAACATAATTTATATTTACATATAATACTTGCTAAGAAGAATAAAGGAAAACTGCATTCTTATGCCCACAATTCTTCTGTCCTTCCAAATTTGTAGATAAGTGTGCTGTGAAAACAGAAGTTGTCATTAACAAGTCATGCATTCATTCCATCTTCATATTAAAAGGTTTAACATTAAAATATTGAGTATATTTCACTTCATTGCCATCCCCAATGCCTTCTTAAAGTAAAAATTCAATACCTTCAAACATGCTGGAATTTGGTACTAATAGCAATTGGGACATGGACCAGGAATATAATCTAGTATGCATGTCTAAAAACAAGAATTAATTCAACTGTGTTGTTGAAGGTTTTCATGGCCAGAATCACTGGATTGCTGTGAGTTTTCTGGGCTGTATGGCCATGTTGCAGAAGCATTCTCTCCTCACAGATTTCCAACAAACCCCACAACCTCTGAGATGCCTCCCATAGATGTGGGTGAAATGTCAGGAGAGAATGGTTCTGAAACATGGCCATACAGCCCAGAAAACTTACAGCAACCCATTAATTTAACTTTTATCCCAACTAGAGTAGACTCATTGTATTAATGAGTTGCTACGTCAACACATGAATTTAAGTAATGTAATGTCTGAACCAACAACTGGAATAAGATGATAATGTAGTTTAAATGTACTTTTTAAACTTCATATTCTCTTACTAAACCTTACTAAATAAAACAGAATTTATCAAAAACCGATTTGTCCCTTTCATTAGGTAGCAGTCAGTATAGTTTCAGAATACAGTCAGTATACAAATCAATATTTGATAAATTCAAATAAATACCTAAAATTTCAAAGTACAGCAGGAAAGCCATTTGTGAGTACACTGTATTCAGTCAGCTAACACACTTAGTGGGGGATGCTGCATCCTGAGGAAATCTATAGCTACACCAGCATAAACACCAACCACATGTTTTGCCAAAAGAAATCCTTACATCCACACTACTTCTGTATGCAATGATTTCTGGATTGACTTCTTCCACATTGGGATTTTACTGACTTTGATAACCAGTTTTTAGCAGAAAGTCAGTGAGATATGTTCAGATCTTTTCAATAAATAAAGCATATCACAACTCATTTTAACAGATTTTTAAAAACATCATATCCAAAGAGCTATTAAGTATTATAAGAGGTTAAGGGAACTAATCGTGATATGTACATGATATGTATAGTGTGTAATACAGTATCACTTTGATGGGGCAAAGTCACTGAGCCATCCAAGATTTTTTTAATCAGACAGAGATGGTTGGAAGAGTCTACAGATTGTGAATCTGGAATGGCACATTGATAGGAATTTAGATTTTTTTAAAGGTGGCAACCAGATTTATCAACCAAATCATCAAAACACCAGTAAGACATAGCTTTGCAACACATATAATGTAGTTCAGTGCATTTCTCATCTGTGTCACTTGCTTACTGAGTGGATGCTATTCATCCTTTGCCCTCCTCACACCTATTAGTTTTTACTTATTATGCATGTTTTTAATTTGATGGTTTCTTCTTACCACTCCCATCAGCAGTCAGGACACAGCAATACCAAAATGTACCTAGAAATTTACAGGTACTTTGAATGTTTTATTGTTAAACTGAAAGTTTGCCTTTAGCTTTGCTGTTAAGTATCATTTGGAATCCATAAAAACCTTTCTTCTGTCTGAACCAGGTAGATTTTGAACATCTGTATATTTAACACACTGATTCAAATTTCAGGAATGACTTACCTAAAAAATATCAAAGCGTTTTGAAAAAACACTGCTAATCCTGGGTAGACAGTAGCATCTATAAAATAAAAGTACCAAAAAAATCAGGTAGTCTTCCAAACATGCTAATACAAAGAGGTTGAGGTGTTATTTTCGTAAAATAGTTCTTGTAATAAAATATATTGGGCAGAATTACTCACTCTACCGCAAAACATGAAGGTTTTAATTGAAGTGCCGTATATACTTGACTATTAACCGAGTTTTTCAGCCTTTTTTTCAGGCTGAAAAACCTCCCCTCGGCTTATATGGCGGGAATGTGTGGGGCTGAAAGAAGAGCCCTTTCTCCATGTCTTCCCACCAGGATCCTCACCTCTCCTCCTCCCTCGTTCCTTGCGCGCCTTTCCCTCCTCCGAGCCTGCAGGAGAGCAAGGCCGTAGACAATCCCCACAGCCACAGCTCCCTCCTCCGCCGAGGAAACCTCGCACGGAACGAGAGAGGAGGAGGGAAAGGCAAGCCTTCCTTGGCAGCCTCGGCGGGGGTAGAGGAGAAGGAAGCCCCTGCGGCAGGCTTTTCCACAGGCTTGCTCTCCTTCTTCCTTGTCCCATGCGCGGCCGCGAGGGCAGCGGCGGGAGGAAGCAGAAAAGCCGCGCATGGGGCGAGGGGGGAGGGGAAAGTGCGCGCTGCTCCCCTTCCTCTCTTGCCGTGTGCGCACCTTCGGCGGCGGAGGCAGGAAAGACGCGCAAGGGAGAAGGGAAGGTGCGCATGCGGCAAGAGGAAGGGGAGCAGGGTGCACTTTACCCCCCCCCATGTGCGGCTTTTCTGCTTCCTCCCGCCGCTGCCCCCACCACCGCAGCCGTGCATATGACAAGGAAGAAGGAGAGCAAGCCTGCGGAAAAGCCTGCCACCGCTGAGGAAAGCCCGTGCTCCCCGGGGGGGGGGGGGGGGAGGGAATGACAGAAAGACTGGGTGGCCATCAAATTGACCAGTAGCGGCTGCATTTCTCACCCTCAGCTTATACTCGAGTCAATAAGTATATACGGTAATTATATTATATAGCATAGTCCCATTTGACTTTCTGAATATGACTCCAAGACCTTGGATGTCTCAAAAATGTACATGGACTGTTTTCGGGTTCAGCTGCCAAGTTGGGAAGAGATTTTTAGACTGTATCTAGAACAGTGGTTCTCAACCTGTGGGTCCCCAGGTGTTTTGGCCTAAAACTCCTAGAAATCCCAGCCAGTTAATCAGCAGTTAGGATTTCTGGGAGTTGATGCACAAACATCACAGGTTGAGAACCACTGGTCTAGAAAAAAGACTTTAAAATAAGAAGCCAACACTGGTTCTAACAAAAAAAATGGAGTTACAGGATACAACTTTAAAGCGTGCTTTCCACCAAATACAGTAATTCCTTTTATTCAGTGCCTACTCAACCCAAAACCATATGTGGCTAACTAGAAAATATCTGCTTTTTCCTTTACAGGAAGAGCAAAATGTGGAAGATGCTCTTCTTGTAGAATGTTGACATTTCAAATATTCAGAGAGTTAGTAATTTCCATAGAAGATCAAGCCAAAGAATCTCCCTTGCTATCTACTATCCTTTGGTAGAACCTGCCTCTGTATAACTCATAGCAACTGTACACAAACTGTAGATAAACAGGTTTCAATTAAGTACCAGAATAATAAAGGAAAATCTGTTCAGTTTTATCCAGAACCTGCTCAGACCCATTAAGGTATTATGGGTAGCATTCTTTCAATAAGGTGTCAGTCAGCAGTCCTGCCAGCAGAAAGGTTTAACCCATTGCGCCACCTTCTCTGATAGGGCTATAACCCACAGCTTGTGTAACTAATTTTTATTGATAAATTCCCTAATTGTGTCCATGTTTCTGCTATTTCTAGCCTTGCTGCACATAACATAAGTGATATGAGTTCTTTATTTGACAAATCCTTATTCTCACTATCAAATAAAGAAATCATTGATTATGCTCCTCTAAAATAAACTATTTCTCCCACTATTCAACTTTTTCATCTTTATACCTTTGGACATCTTAGCCACATTTGACTCCCATCCTCTATTTTTCCACACCTTTGCCAATACTGGATCAAAAATTTCAAATTTAAGTGGATCATAATACATCTATTCATAATTTTCAATGTATTTTTTTCACAGTATTGATTTATAGGCTGGAGTTTTCCAAATTAAATTCCATTTTTTCTATTTTTATTCCCTCATCTAATTCCCATACTATTCTCAGCCTATTTAATGTACTAAATTTAGCTTTTTGAATTGCCGCTTAATTTAATCTCAACAGAAAAAGAAAAGAACCGATTTCTTTTAAATGGGTAGTTATGAATGTATTCCTTCACCCTTTGTTAAAAAGTAACAAGAAGAATTCTTACTTTGGGTAACATAAGCACCAAAAAGGATCCACATGGAAGCAATAAGTGAGCCAAACATCAACATGAAGCCAATGAAGAGCCAGACACGAGCACCTGTAAGAATACATAAAGCTAAAGCACTGGGGTATGTTTTGTTATAAATTATGAGAGGACACAACTAAGAAGGTGCACAATTACTTATTCCACTCAAGTCAAGCAGATCAAGACTTGCATTCGGCATATCAACATTGCAAATGGCCTACTTACATCTATAGGAATTTTAGTGACACAAAGTGCATCTACAAAAACATTCATTCTTCTGAAAAATCAGTGGTCTAGGCAAACTCTAGAAAAAATGGCACAACATAGTGCAACATTTATTATTTATTTATTTATTATCTACTGTATTTTACCCCGCTCTATTTCAACCCTGAAGGGGACTCTGAGCACCTTCCAAATTGGCAATAATTCAATGCCACATTAAGATATAAAACATAGAAAATACATTGTGCATTAAAATCATAAAACAATAAAATATGTTTAAATAAGGAGTTAAAAACATATATGAGATTATCTGATTTCAGGCAGGTTTTGCTTTGTGAGGCATTTGGCCTGAAATCACCCGATAACACTGACAATGCCACTAAATGCCATGTAATAGAAGAGGGGTTAGATACGAATGAGGGAGACCTGAGTTTTATGAAGTTTCCTTTATTAACTCTGGAAGTCTATTTTCTCTCAAATCAACCTACTTCACGTTTGAAAGAAATAGAAAATGGAAGCTACCTAATTTATAATGTCCTTGACCTCTATAGAAGATAGCTTTATAAAAATATAATTCACTCTTCCAGAACCTCTAAATCCCGTGTTCTACTTCTAACCATAAAAAATGCTAACACTATCAATCTATACCAACTGCACATCTTACTATGCATTACTATATTTAAATAGGGCATGACTTTTCTTCTGCTGTTTGTACAGAATAGTATTCAAATGTAAGTCTAGCTGGATAAACAGAAACATTCTCACCCGTTCTTCCTAGACATCCATCACCATAGCTGTCTCCTCGCACCTGAGCATTTGATACAGCATTTATCCTAAAATACAAAAGGAGGTTTATACAATAACTAGTTTACGTTACTCCCTGCAACCTCAAATATCAGAACCCCCACTGTCCTAGATGTGCAAGACAGTCCCTCTCCATTTTGTAAATCATTTCAGTGTTAACATTCTTCCCTTTGAATTTATCCTGCTATATACAATGGGAAATTGTTAAACCTGAATACATAGGAGCCAAAAATGCTACAGCACAATAACTGACAACAGGGGTACTGGATTCACTCTCAAGCACTACACACACAATGATTTTTATATAGTTTAACAAATATAATGTTTACATCTAATTTCTAATATAGCTCTTGATTGTGACCAGTCTGCTGCAAAACCAAAAGGCAGAAGAAATAGCTAGCATGAGAACACACTAAGTGAAAAAGAATAGGAGATGTAGGTCAGGAATGGGTCTCTCTGAAGATAGTGGAAACAGGTATCTAAGAAAGCTTGGTTTTTATAAACCAGCCCCATGTTTCATATATCCCATAACACAACAGTCATCAAGACTTTTAATAAATTAGAAATTCTGACAATAAATATAAAAAAGAAAAAAATGATTAAACAAGATTTCTTTTTAGTTTCTCTTTATCACTTGAGACAATTTACCTTCAACTACTATCTGAGATTTGGCACGCTCTTTAACCAGTGGAGTTTTATATTATGTTGTTGCTTTTGTGTTATTGTTTATACACTTGTTGTATTTGTGCTTTTGCACCTTTAAGTGCTTTGTGAGTCACCCCAAGTTTCTTAGGAGATGGTGGTGAGGTATAAATAAGTTGTTGTTATGAATAATTTTATTTTTATACTGCACCTCCAACTCCCCGGAAGGGACTCAGGGCGGATTACATGGGGACGAGCCTGATCGACATGGTTAAAACATAGCATATTAAAATATCTAAACAACAAAATAAAACAAAAACAAAAGAAACAATAACATTATAACAAAATATAAAAACAAAACATCAAACCAATAAGATTATTATTATTATTTTTATTATTATTATTATTATTTACTTACATGAAGAAAGCCAGTGTGGAAAACACACCACAAGTATGGAACGCATGGTTCATTTGTTTTGGGTCAGGATAAACTACTGCTGCATCAATCATTATCCACCAACCTGTAAAAAACTGTATTGCATGTGATGATTAAACCAAGTGAGAATCTACAGAAAGGTCACACATGCAGTTCGCTTCTCGGTCCTCCACCAATATCTTAAAATTATAGGCTTTTCTAACAAACTTAAGCCCACTGAGTAGCTAAGGAACTCTTTCCTTCACAGTAGATACCTCCTACTACCCTAAGGATGGGTAACATGCAGTTCTTGAATTGCATGCAACTTTCCCAAGTATTTTGCCAATACCTCATAGGTTCTCTCAGCTACACTAACAGGTTTTTCTCATTTGAAACCAGGAAAATATCTCTACCTACAAATTAGCACTTGCAGGACAAGCTCCATGTAAACAAGGTGTTTCTATATTACACTGCCTTATCCATGCATCATAAATGGCTTCAAAATGGAGACTACAGTAACGTAAGCCAAGCAGAATCGATTTAACTAGTAAATGTCACTTCAAAAATATGACCTTTAACTCTTCTAAGAGGAGCCATATTTCAGTTCAAATTGAGTATTCTTTATCAAAAATCATTGGGAGTAGTAGTGTTTTGGATTGTGGATTTTTTTTGGGGGGGGGGGGATTTTGGAATACTGTACCTGTGTTACATATACATAAATACTGAGATATCTTGAAGATGGGATCCAAAGTTACAAATGACATTCTTTTTGTTTCACATATATTTTATATACATAGTTTGAAGGTAATGTTATACATATTTTTAATAATTTTGTGCATGAAACAAAGTTAATGCACACTGAATCATCAGAAAGCACAAAGTGTCAATATCTCAGATACTTGTGTGGATAATTTTTGAGTATTTCGGATTTTGGAATTCCAGATAAAGGATGCTCAACATGTATTGGTTTCAAGCTCTATAATATTGTATGTCTGGGTTCATGACCATATACACACATACAATGAGCCCTTGATATCAACTCGGGCTTGGTTCCAGAACCCCCCGTGGATACCAAAATCCAAGCATAGTCAAGTCCCATTATATACAGCGGTGTAGTAAAATATTGTTCTTATGTAAAATGGCAAAATCAAAGCTTGCTTTTTGGATTTTTTAAAAAAATATTTCAAGCCATGGATGGCTGAATCCATGGATGCAAAATCTGTGGAGATGGAGAGCCGACTATTTTTTTTTTACTTTAAAATACAAATGGTAGTAGACAATAAAAATAACATTAAAATAGCAAAGCATCAAACCCTATTATCACAACTGCAAAACCAGCATGTATGAATTGGAGGACTGAGAAGCAAAAATATGTCTTCACCTTTTTTTGCTTCATGGTTTTGGTAATTATTTCTCATCATCAAAGAACAAACTGTACCAGAATGGTTTTTCATGTTTCTTAAGAAAACATATTTTTGTTGATTAATATATTGTATAACTCTATCTGAATCCATAGTCTTGGCACAAAGCATTTGAGGAAAAAGAAGTCATTAGAAATGCAACCAACACTATCGCATCATTCAGAGTGTGGTTGGAATAATGCCAAATTAACCATCATTGTAAAAATACTGATCGAACAAACCTTTGCTTTCATTACTATCCTGTACTGCTTTTAATTCTCCAGTGAAGAAGCCTAATAGCATTCCATTTTGTAGCTCATACTCCTCCCAGAGCATTTTCTAATAATGATAAGGCTATTCATGCAAACATTCTTTCTTTGCCCAATCTGCAAATGCTGTGTTCTTCTCAAATATAAATGTGTCGGGAATAAAATAAACTCAGTAGCAGTTATGTATACAAGGCCCAATGTCCTAAGATTTCAATTCTATGCATACCTATTTAATTTCCACCAAATGAAAAGGAAATTAACTTTTGAGAAAACATGCCCATTACACTGCATTGTAATAGACCAAATGTCTCCAAAAACTGCAACATAAGATTCCTTTAAATAGAGACATGTGACCATCAGCAATTGGGTAGCATCTGGCAAAAGGGAATTTATGAAATCAGTCTTTCACTGAACATACATAACTACAAAAACCTGATCTTACAAAATAATTAAAAGAAAGGATGCAAATCATCATCTGCCAATGAAAAATTATAGATACAATACTTATGGTCAACATAAGATTGACCCTTTTACTCACCAGAAAAGATTCAATTAAAAGATAACCCAAGTCATTAGAATTATATCAGAAAAAATGAGAAAACTGCTAGATATCAGAAATTAACATTAGAGACATAGATGAAATAAGGCATGTATTGTTGGTCTCAAGACTTACGAGGATCCCAGCTACCACAGAAGCAACAGTGTTTCTTCTTTCACTCCAATCAATACACTCACATTCAGGCCATCGGAAATTGTCTAGGAAGCCGGCCATTTTCCAAGTTCAATTTGGCTTTTTGACTTGTGTATTTACATTAGATTCTCATATGCTTCCAAGACCTAAACAAAAGAGGACCAAAAGATAAGTGGATTTCCTCCCACATACTACTTTCAGATTATAATAATCACACACAAACTCATGTATGTATAGACATATAATTATCAACCACTGCACATTCTTATTCAAGACACTGCCCTACCCTCTGTGCAGTATTTGTCTTCAGAACGAATCCAGAGGTCAAGACAATGCCTTTGCACTTGATTTCCCAAAGCTGTTTTGTTCAGGAACTATGTATACATAGTATATCAATTATAGTCAACATGTATTTCCTTGAAGTCTTATGACAGAAGGCATAAGGTTACAAAGTGATACATAAATTATGAGTTCCCCATGTTCTCACAGGACATGAGAAAGGACAGAGAATGGGACAGTCAGAAGATCAATGTTCAATGTAGTTTACTATGTATGCTGAGGATTCCAAGATTGTGCTCTGTTTCCTATATCTGTTTTATCTTTGTGTCTGTTTAAATATAGCATAATAAAAGTTTTAAAATCTCCCATTAATATGAAAAATATAATTACTTACTTAGGCGATCCCTCGTTGGACGAGTAAGATGGTCTTCCATTATGGATTTCCTTGTGGGTCCGTATGTGGCTGTGGAGCCCTATTCTTGCTCTGCATCTTCTTCCGCAGTGAGGGCATTGGTTTCCAGGTGGAAGGCGGTCCCGGTCGGGGTTGGCTTGACGCGCCTTCCTCCTGGCACGTTTCTCTCTTTCACCCTCCACTCTTGCCTCCTCAAATTCTGCAGCACTGCTGGTCACAGCTGTCCTCCAGCTGGAGCGCTCAAGGGCCAGGGCTTCCCAGTTCTCAGTGTCTATGCCAGAGTTTTTAAGGTTGGCTTTGAGCCCATCTTTAAATCTCTTTTCCTGTCCACCAACGTTCCGTTTTCCGTTCTTAAGTTCGGAGTAGAGCAACTGCTTTGGGAGACGGTGGTCAGGCATCCGGACAACGTGGCCAGCCCAGCGGAGTTGATGTTGGAGGACAATCGCTTCAATGCTGGTGGTCTTTGCTTCTTCCAGCACACTGACGTTTGTCCGCTTGTCTTCCCAGGAGATTTGCAGGATTTTCCGGAGGCAGCGCTGATGGAATCGTTCCAGGAGTTGCATGTGACGTCTGTAGACAGTCCACGTCTCACAGGCTTATAGCAGGGTTGGGAGGACAATAGCTTTATAAACAAGCACCTTGGTATCCCTACGGATGTCCCGGTCCTCAAACACTCTCTGCTTCATTCAGAAAAATACTGCACTTGCAGAGCTCAGGCGGTGTTGTATTTCAGTGTCAATGTTGACTTTTGTGGAGATGTGGCTGCCAAGGTAGTGGAAATGGTCCACATTTTCCAATGTTACACCATTAAGCTGTATTTCTGGCATTGCAGATGGATTGGTTAGTGACTGTTGGAAGAGCACTTTAGTTTTCTCGATGTTCAATGACAGGCCGAGCTTCTTGTATGCTTCTGCGAAGGTGTTTAGTGGCTTGTAGATCTTCTTCTGAATGCGCACACGACATTGTCATCAGCATACTGGAGTTCTATAACAGATGTTGTTGTAACCTTGGTTTTGGCTTTCAGTCTGCTGAGGTTGAATAGCTTGCCATCTGTCCGATAGATGATTTCCACTCCGGTGGGAAGCTTCCCATCAACAAGGTGAAGTATCATAGCGATGAAGATGGAGAATAGAGTTGGGGCAATAACACATCCCTGTTTGACACCTGATTCCACCTTAAATGGGTCACTTTGGGAGCCACTGCTGTCCAAGACTGTTGCCATCATGTCATCGTGGAGGAGCCGCAGGATGTTCACAAATTTGTTTGGGCACCCGATTTTGTGGAGGATGGTCCAGAGAGCGCTGCGATTCACTGTGTCGAATGCCTTTGCAAGGTCGATGAATGCCATGTACAGAGGTTGGTTTTGTTCTCTGCATTTTTCTTGGAGCTGTCTTGCAGTGAAGATCATGTCCACGGTTCCTCTGGAGGGGCGGAAGCCATTCTGGGATTCTGGGAGGGTGTCTTCTGAGAGGGGCAGAAGGCGGTTTGCAAGGATTCTTGCGAGGATTTTCCCAGCGGAGGTTAGAAGGGAGATACCTCGATAGTTTCCGCAGTCTGTTCTTTCCCCTTTTTTGAAGAGGGTGATGATGGTGGCGTCCTTGAAATCTGCTGGGATTTTCTCGGTCACGCACACTTTTTCTATGAGCTGGTGGAGTTGGTGTGTCAGCTCAGGTCCTCCCTCTTTAAAGATTTCAGCAGCTTTGTTATTCTTTTGTTGGCTGATGGCATTGCTGACTTCTTCCAAACTAGGCAGTGCTGCAAGCTCATCCCTGGTTTGTTGTTGCGGGGTTTGTGAGAGGACCTCTTCGGCCACATTGGAGCTGCGGTTCAGGAGGCTTTGGTAGTGTTCTTTCCAACGTAGTGCAATTGAGTTTTGGTCCTTCAGGAGTTTGGTTCCATCTGATGAGCGTAGAGGCTGTATCCCATGGTTTCTTGGTCCATAGATGACCTTTGTGGCTTTGAAGAATCCCTGAGCATCATGGGTATCTGCCAGGTGTTGGATTTCTTCAGCCTTCTTTGTCCACCAGATGTTCTTGAGTTCTCTTGTCCTTCTTTGGACCTCAGCTTTTGCACTGGCATAGATCTTTTTCTTAGCAGCACAGTTGATGTCTCTCTGCCATACTTGGAAGGCTTTCCTTTTCTTGTCAATTAGCTGTTGGATCTCGATGTCATTTTCATCAAACCTCTTGATGTTTCTTGGCTTGATATCCAATAGTTTCTTCGCAGGCTTGGATGATGGAGGTCTTCAGTTTGTTCCAATGTTCCTCAACATTTTCGGGGTGTTCTGTGGGTAGATGGTCCTTGAGTGCTGTTTGGAGATGGGCTCGTCTGGAGGGCTCCTGAAGGGCTTGGGTGTTCATTTTGCGCCTTGTCTTCCTTCCTTGGAGTCTGCGCTTGGGAGCGATCTTGAGAGCCATCGAGGATCGAATTAGCCTGTGGTCAGTCCAGCAGTCGTCAGCACCTGTCATGGCTCTTGTGAGGAGCACATCACGGCGGTCTCTGGCGCGTGTGATTACATAGTCTAAGAGGTGCCAATGCTTTGACCGGGGTGCTTCCATGATGTCTTGAACTTGTTTTTCTGGCGGAAGAGCGTGTTGGTGATGACAAGGTTGTGCTCCGCACATTTGGTGAGAAGCAAGATGCCATTTGATGGCGGAACCCCGTCTTTTCCGATGGTCCCTGGCCACAGGTCGAAGTCTCGCCCGACTCTTGCATTGAAGTCCCCCAAGAGGATGATTTTGTCCTCCTTAGGTATCCCCGATAGGACGGTGTCCAGCTGACAGTAGAATTTCTCCTTGATGTCTTCGTCAGCATCTAGTGTTGGTGCATAGGCACTTATGATGGTTGCCCGTTGGTTTTTGGCAAGATCGATTCGGAGGGTTGAGAGTCGTTCGTTGATGCCAGTGGGTGCTTCGGACAGATGTTTCACCAGATCATTCCTGATAGCAAAGCCAACTCCGTGCATTCTTTGGTCTTTTTCGGGCAGTCCCTTCCAGAAGAAGGTGTAGCCTCCTTTTTCTTCCTTCAGCTGTCCCTCTCCTGCTCTCCGGGTCTCCTGAAGGGCTGCTATGTCGATGTTGAAGCGTCCCAGCTCCCTTGCAATGATGGCAGTTCTGCGTTCGGGGCGTTCACTGCCACTGTTGTCCATCAGAGTCCGTACGTTCCACGTACCGAAGTTCATTTTTCTTTTTTGGCCGCAGGGTGGTGACCCCACTGGACGCGGCAGTCCAGTCAGGGATAAGTGAGGCAGACTATGTTTAGGGCACCTTTTCTAGCCCCCTCCCCATGTGGGGTGAGCAGAGTGGGTCCTCAATAGGGCTGCTCAGTCGCGGATACAGCTGCCGAACTACTCAACTGCCTCGGACCTTGAGGTAGAACGACTGAGTCCGTACCCACCGCCCAGGTGCCAGTCTGTGACTAGGGGCTTCCAGATTTCACAGTCCTGCCCCCGTCGCCACTCGCTGATCGCCATGGGACTTTGGTTGCTTGGTTTTTATTTTCTTTGGAAGACGCCTGTGCGTGGGTTTTTTTAATGTGTGGAGGTCAGTGCACAACTGATCAACACACAGACTTCACAGAGTGAGGTTCCACTGGTGATGTAGTTTAACACAATGACCGTGGCTTCTCAGTCTGTTGCAGCCTTCTTCCGCCTTCGCAGCCGTTGTAACATGTGCCATGTTATCCTCCGCCTGCTCCGCCGTTGAGGTCTTTGGGTCTTCGGACTGTGCTTGGTCTGGAACCTCCCCCGCGGCCACTCCTGGGAGTGCACGACTCCAGTTGTTGTGCCTACAGGTTCATTGGAACGCGCAAGCCCCCTCACCACGACAAGGTGACGAAAAATATAATAGTATGGATGGGATAATCAGATATGAGGTAGTGACTCTAAAATCACACTACTCACAGAAGTAATCAAACATTTAAATGGGTTTTTTACCATTTAGGGTGTGCTTTTTTGCTTTAAAAACACGAAGACTCTTATAAAGACTGGGAGAATTTATTCACTGAGACACGTTTAGGTCACTCATACCTTAGATTCATGTAAAATGATAAAAGTGTACGCATATCAGATATTACAAGAAAAGGCTGAAGATGCTTTAGGTACAAAATATCCTCTGAGGAATATATCAAGATACTACAATATGTATTCAGAGAACTCAGCAAAAATGCAAGCCTAAAAAAAAGATGTTAAGAGATAATTACTCTTTATTAAGTGATATCTGTGGAGCCCCGAGTGGCACTGCAGGTTAAACTGCTGAGCTGCTGAATTTGCTGACCAAAAGGTCAGCTATTCGAATCTGAGAAGCAGGGTGAGCTCCCACTGTTAGCCCCAGCTTCTGCCAACCTAGCAGTTCAAAAACATGCAAATGTGAGTCGATCAATATGTACCGCTCTGGTGGGAAGGTAACGGTGCTCCATGCAGTCATGCTGGCCACCCTTGGATGGTTTTATGGACAATGCCAGCTCTTCGGCTTAGAAATGGAGATGAGCCCCCCCCCCCCCCCCCAGAATCGGACATAACTAGATTTAATGTCAAGGGGAAACCTTTACCTTAAGTGACATCTTATCAGAAAGTCAGCATGATCTAATGGTCTCTAGAGTCACTGGTCCTCAACTCTGTTATTGTGTGCCCCCAAGTCATTCCATATTTAAGGCAACCCTAATATGAACGTTTTATGATGTTTTCTTGGCAGAATTTGGTCAGATTGGGCTTGCCTGTGCCTTCTTCTGAGCCTGAGAGAGTGTGACTCTCACAGTCATCCAGCAGGTTTCCACAGCTGAGCAGGGATTCAAACCTGGTCCCCAGTGTCCTAGTCCAATACTCATCCCACCACCCAATGCTGGCTATCAACACACCTGAGGCCAAAGTTTGAATCCTCACTAAGCCAGCGAAACCCATTGGGTGACTTTGGCCAAAAGTGGAGATCTTACTGGACTATCATCTCATTTTCCTTTATCACAAAAAATCCACAAAATATTCCCAACCCTTTAAGAAGAAGAACTGCTTTGTCTCAAACAGGTTAATGAATCCACCTCACCCGAGTAATCTCTCTGAGCATGGTCCCACAAGTGGAACCGGTTTCCAGAGATTGGAAAGATAACGCACAAGGGGTGCAGTCAACAACTGTGTGCAGAGTCAGGCAGAAGGAAGGGTGTGCAAAGGCATCTGTGGGCGACAACTGCATCCCTGACTAATGTCATGTTTGGATAGGTCTTGATCTCATTTGAACGGGGAAGAAATCCAACCCCAGGACTTGGAAATCCCCTTCGCTTGGAGATCGAAACCAAAAGAGGGTGAGGGATAGATAATATGTATAAGCAGAAGAATAACAGTAGATGCCAAAAGTTAAAGTATGGTAGATTGTATTGAATAATATGTATCTGCTGTAAAATAAACAATGTATAACAAATGTATTGAACTATGATAAAATAATAAAAAATAAAAAAAGAAACCAAAAGACACACTAAAAACTCACTTCTCCAACAGGAAAGAAGGAAAAAAAGTCCCCATTTACACTGGACATTTAAACTGGCACTGAAGACAGTGATATGGCTGTGCAGATGATGACATAGGAAGACCTGGAACCAGTATGAGGCCCAGATGTAGATGACACAAATGACTGAGCACAGGTGCTCATTAAAGGCTTCCTTTCGTGCATTTCTGTGTGTTTGTTGTCTAGCCACCGCATTCTGAAGTTACCTTTGCGTTAAATGGTCAGTGCAGAACAGGCCTTGGCCAACTTAGGTCCTCCAGGTGTTTTGGACTTCAACTCCCACCTTTCCTAACAGCCTCAGGCCCTTTCCTTTTCCCCCGCTTAAGCGGCTGAGGGGGAAAAGGAAGGGGCCTGAGGCTGTTAGGAAAGGTGGGAGTTGCAGCCCAGAACACCTGGAGGGCCCAAGTTTGACCCAGGCCTGGTGCAGACTGAGGCAGACGTGCGCGCGCACCCCTCGCGCCTCTCCCTCCCCGCCCCCTCCTCTCTTCCTTACCTGAGAGCGCTTTCCCGCGGCTCCATCCACGGCCCGAACCTGGCCGGTTCTGCCAGCGAAAGGCGTGGAAGGGAAGCGACAGGAGCCTCGACCAATCGGCGGCCGTCAAGAGGCGCGTCACAAACCAGCTACGCCGTGATTGGACAGCCGCGCGAGGCCGGCTTCACTGAGGCGAGAAATCTCGCGAAGGGCTCTCCTACTCCATGGCTCCGCCCACAAGACGGGAAACGGCTGTTGGGCTCGCGGAGGGAGGCAGTTGCCGGCGACCTGGTCTCCCTGCTCACGTGACCGGACCCGGGGGGGGGAAGAGAGAGAAAAGGAGCGCATGCGCGATACACACTGAATGCCGCGGTAGACAGCTTCACTACGCCAGGTATGGGCCAACTTGGGCCCTGCAGGTGTTTTGGACTTCAACTCCCACAATTCTTATCAGCCTACTCGCTGTTAGGAATTGTGGGAGTTGAAGTCCAAAACACCTACACAGGGTCCAAGTTGGCCTATGCCTGGTCTACGCTGTAGCACAGGACTCCTCAAACGTTTTAAACAGAGGGCCAGGTCACAGTCTCTCAAACTGTTGGAGGGCCGGATTATAATTTGAAAAAATCACGAATTAATTCCTATGCATGTTGCACATCAAATAAGATATGTGCAGAAAACGCATACAAACAATAAAATAATTAAAATGAAGAACAATTTTAACAAATATAAACTCATTAGTATTTAAATGGGATGTGTGGGCCTGCTTTTGACTGATGAGATAGGGTTGTTGTGTGTTTTCAAGTCGTTTCAAACTTAGGTTGACCCTGAGCAAGGGCCAGAGGAATGACCTTGGAGGGCTGTATCTGGCCCTCGGGCCTTAGCTTGAGGGCCCCTGCTGTAGCACAATGCTATGGAATCATGGGAGTTGTGGTTTTGGAAAGTCTTTAACCGGTAATAGTATGAAAGCTGGGTCCAGAAGCTCTGAGCATTACGCTTTTTCCACTTCACTCCTTCAGGAGCACTGTTTGCGCAACGCAAAATGGAACACAGATATAGAAGGAACGTAAAAGTTCTGTAATGGTAAAACCATTACCCAAACCCTAAGTCTAACCCTAATCCTAACCCAAACCTTACCCTAAGCCTAACCCTAATCCTAACCCTACCCCAAACCCTAAACCTTATCCTAACCCTCTCCTCCTTTCTATCCTTCCACCAAATGCAACTACAAAGTATATTCCCACCATCAGTGTGCCGCTCTCCCCTTCCCTTATTCACAACCATTGCGAAATGTGTGTAATGCTAGGAGCTTCCGGACCCAGCTATCATACTATCCCCCTTTAACCTTCTCTGTCAAAAAGCGCTGGTGCCTCAATAAACTACAACTCCCATAAGCCCACAGTACTGAACTGTGACAGTCAATGTGGGGTCATTAATTCTACCATGTAGTAGAGCCTGACTGCTCATTGGAGGGAAGAATAGGTAAAGGTAAAGGTAGTCCCCTGACATTAAGTCCAGTCATGTCTGACTCTGGGGTGTGGTGCTCATCTCCATTTCTAAGCCGAAGAGCCAGCGTTGTCCGTAGACACCTCCAAGGTCATGTGGCCGGCATGACTGCATGGAGCGCCGTTACCTTCCCGCCGGAGCGGTACCTATTGATCTACTCACATTTGCATGTTTTCGAACTGCTAGGTTGGCAGAAGCTAGGGCTGACAGCGGAAGCTCACGCCAATCCCCGGAATCGAACCTGCGACCTTTCGATCAACAAGCCCAGCAGCTCAGTACTTTAACCCACTGCGCCACCGGGGGCTCCGGAGGGAAGAATAGTAGAGGCCAAAATGAAGTACTTTGGCCACATCATGAGAAGAAAGGAAAACTTAGAGAAGATAATTATGGTGGGGAAAATGGAAGAAAAAAGGAAGAGGGGCTGACCAAGGGCAAGAAGGATGGATGGTATCCTTGAAGTGACTGGATTGACCTTGAAGGAGCTGGGGGTGGTGACAACCGACAGGGAGCTCTGGCGTGGACTGGTCCATGAAGTCACAAAGAGTTGGAAATGATTGAACGAATGAACAACAACAAGTAGAGATGGACCTTTCAGTGTTAAATAGGAGTTTTGCCAAGGAGACGTTTGGGTGAGTGGGCTTATTAACAAAAGACCCTCCTCATAAATGCACAGCAGAGTAACTTAGCAGCCGTGTGATCCAGCACCAATAGCCCAAAGTGATAAAAAGAACAAAAACACAGACCAATGTTATTTCTTCCTTAGGAGGCTTTTCTTTATAGCAAAATAATATGGTTGCACTATTTACAAGAACAAGGTTTCCATGACACAAATAAAGTTCAGCCTTCACACTGGAGCTTCACCCACTAGGCCTTCTCATACTGAGGCTTACCTCACACACTAAGGCCTGCCTCACATAGAAGCTTTTCATAGAGACTATGGTCTACCTCACATTGTTAAGGCTTCTCACAGACTGGGACCTTTCTCCCACTGAGGCTTACCTCAGACTGAGGGCCACTAAGCAACAGGCATACTTGCTTATATAGAACTGCAGTTTTTGCTGAGTCATTGCATCCATGTAACCCTTTCAGTGCTTGACTCACATTTTTGTAATTAAAAATACCTAGTTAAGTTTTATTATTTCTGACAAGGACAATCTACTCTTGCCAGTTGAACTACATATCATAGAGAAATCACTTTGAAATCATGCAGATGACTTGCTATATTTTTTTTTTGAATTTAGCATTTATATTGTTTTTATGATGTTGTCTGATTATGTTTATTGAATGTTATTGATTGTATTTTAACCTGTATTTGTTGGGCATGTTCTCCTGTAAACCATACCGAGTCCCTTCAGGGAGATGGGGGTGGAGTATAAAAATAAAGTTGTTGTTGTTATTGTTATTATTATTTGGCTTTTTATACACTACATCATTTTCTTAAAATCATGACACCTTTTTTGAAGTGGATTGTGGCATGGCATTCTTGCTGTACTGAACATTGTGTTTTAGTATTTGCACTACAGTGTTGTTTACAATATGTGCTGCCTACTTGACCTTTATGAACCAAATTACATAAATATTTATGAAATATAGGATGGCTGCTTGGGAGACAAAACACTTTGGATCTCTGCCAATCTCCAATTAAGGAGGAAAGACATTTTGTCAGCCCTCCATATGCATAGATTCTGTATCTATGGATTCAACCATCCATGGCTTGAAAAGATCACATATACTTCTAAAAATTCCAAAAAGCAAATTGATTTCAATGGCGACACAAGCACCGGAGTCACCTGCTTTGGAGTAACTCCTGTTCCTGCTATCAAATCATATCACAATATTGTAGTTAAAATACACACACACACACACACACACACCCCTCAAAAGGCAAAATCAGCTACTATATTTTTAAAAAACATCAGCAAGAACAATAATAATGTGTGTTTATAGCACATGCAGATGGAACTACTTGATTCAAAGCATCGTAATGTAGTAATAAGGACTGCTCTGATCTGAATTCATGTGCATTAGAAGGGTCAAAAATGTAAACTGGCAATAAATTTTGGCCTTGCAAGGTTCCTGGGCTTATAATGTAAGTTGAGCTTATAACGAAAATTGTGATTATATTGAACTATTTTTGACCTGCTGATTCCAAAAATAGCACCAGTTTCCTTATATCAACTCTAGTTTTTGAGAGACAGAACATATGCCATTTACCACTCTATATCTGTTCACCTAAAGATCATGGTAATGCTATCTAATAAATAAATAAATAAATGTATCTAATAAATTGGAGTCTATCCAATACAGTTTTCTAAACCAGCACCCCAAATAACCTCAGGAAGAGGCCTAAAATCAAAACATTTTTTTTGTTGAACTGTGTCATAATTTGCATGTATGCTGCTTGAATGCTCATCATGTGTGTTTTTTAGAGCTCTACAACCTCTCTCTCAAACACACAATTAATATAGGTGCTTATCCACTATTCATCTCTTGCTGTTCTTCCCAATATTAATTTGATTTTGTTTTTCCTATTCTTTATTCTATCCTTCCAGTTTATATTTTAATAGCACTTTCTGTCCTTGTGAAAATTGGATTTTGAACATTTTGGCTTGTTGCGGAAACAAAGATTGGTGAGAAAGCTTCTATGGAGACACCTTTTCCCCATGATAGCTCATCCAGGAATGAATTTCCCTTCTAGGGGTAGATTTTTCTCAGCCCCGTTCTTAACTGTGAGTCATTTGTAAGTCAGATGTTTGTAACTAAGGGAATTCTTGTACATAAATGCAGATTGAAGGATTTAAATGAACCATGTGAATATCTATTTTAGGTTTTGAGCATAGCTTAAGGGAAATGTTAAAATATGCTAATGAATTCCATAGCATAAAAGTAGTTACAACATACGGTTCCATTTCATGCTGATATTGTTTCCTTTCCACAACATTCAGGTGACAAGATGTGTTCCTTCATGGCTAGGGGTTGGACTGGATTCCCCTTGTAGTCTCTTCCAATTCTATGAATGTGTCATTATAATACCTGTAAAGCATTCATTAGACATCTGCTTTGCCACACACCTCTTTATGCAATTGTTACTCACCTGCTGAACAGGTTTATTATCTCAATTACTCGTAGAAATTGTGCACTTTTCTTTTACATTTCTCTTTTGAGTCACCCAAAAGCAAAGATGCCATTGTCTCAGCTACACATGTGAATGATTTTTTAGTATTTTGGATTTTGGCATTCTGAATAAGGAATGCTCAGTCTGTAATGTAATAGACACACTATCCAAACTACACACTGGTGTAAATATAGCACTCCAGTCATATTGTTACAACAAGATTGACCACAGGACAGTTGTTGAATAGCTAAAGACCATGGCTCTAGTTTGTTGTCTTATTATTGGAGCTGTAATGTGCAACCTACATTTCTGAAAATCAGTATTTCTTTTTTCATTTTAGTAACTGTCACTTCTACACTTCCTTTGAGTTTTATGATTCTTGGATGACAATTCGAGGTTTCTTCTAACATCAGATATATTGGGTTGCTGTGAGTTTTCCGGACTGTATGGCCATGTTCCAGAAACATTTTCTCCTGATGTTTCACCCACATCTGTGGCAAGCATC